TTCCATATAAATATATTATTTCTTGCACAAATGCAGTAATGAAGTAGATTGTAATAAATACACTTGATATTGCTGTTTACTTGAATCTCCTCATTGATGTTTCAGACTGTGATGGATAACTTTCTCCATTATTGGCATGTGTATATCCTGTACGAATAGCCCCTATATTGCCTTAAGTTACAGGGATTATAAGTAAAGATGGATAGTAGCTAGTGGTAGAATCCAGGAAGTGCTTTTCATCCTATATGGAACTCGTCAACCGGATGTACTTGAATCTCAGAAATGATATCCACTCTAAGACTGAAATCCACTACCGTTTACTTCAAATGCCATACTGTTATCCTCTTACACACTGAGTCCTGATAGTCACTAGCTAGTGCAATGAGCTGAAATTTAGATTCACTTGTCATTGTTTACTTGAATCCCAACATTGTTGTTTAGACTGTAGTTGATTCGTTTCTCTCTTGTTGGCATATGTGCATACTGTGCGTAATATTAACTCTGTGATGCAGGTGCATCCAGTGCACGAACAGAAAATACTTCGACTTCATTCGCCCTAAATCGTTCTTTTCATCCTATTATGAGAAATGTATGAATAAAACATTTGCTGAACTTCAGTGTACTTAAAGAAGGTCAACAGGATCAATGTGTCAAACGATCGATCAAATATAACCAGCGGTTATTACATGCAAACTTTAAATGAGACCACAATACCGAGGTACGGAGAGAGAAATAATTGCACTAATGTTCTCTTGACATCATCACACTTTCCACAAACATGAGCTACTAACTATGTATACAAGTTTTTGAAGTCTAACGAATGACTTCCTTTATCCCTGAGCACTCTGAGCACTTATATCGCATGTACTAAATCACTCTATGAAACGTCACATCTCAGTTTGTGACGTTTGCGGATAGTCTAACGATCGTATCGTAATTCAGTCATGAAACTGCACTTTACGTAACCTGTAGTAAACATATCATATATGTCAAATCATCTTAGTAGTGAAATAAACACTTAGCATTTCTGATTTAGTGTCTATATGGAATACAAATCTTCTGTCGGAATTACACCGAAATGTGGTTAACGATTACTTTTGTAATAAACTTTCATTTCGGAGCTCAAACAGAAGCTTATAAGCTGTCGGTAATTGCAAAACGTCTACAAGTGTACGTTTCGGACGATTCTAATTAGTATTAGTTGAAACATCAACTCGATTACTTCTATTTGACACAGATGTCTGTTGTGTGAATACATCAACGGTAAAATACGTTATCACTTTTTGTATAAACACTGTATTTTTGCTTCCGTCTTTGTCAGTGAAGCATAAGTCACTGGTTATTGCAGTACAGTCCACCAACAGAACTTTCCTGAAACTGACCTAAGATTTCATTGACGTACATATGATTATTGGTTTTAAATATAATGAGACTGTACATGGCATGAATTTGACTCTCTTCAAGTTTGGAACCATCGTAGAAATTTAATCCTAATCTTTTTAATATTACTATTTAATGTATCCATGTTATAATTACATTCTTTCCTGGATGTACCTGCATCGTAGACTTGATGCTCACTTAGGAACTCGAATCAGTACGTGTAAAGACAAAAATTAAACAATATCAGTTGAATTTAAACTTCACTCCAATGCACAAGCGATTGGCCATCAGCACTCGGTAGCTAAATGGATAACGCAATCGAGTTTGAAACGAACGTTACTGGTATTCGAGTCACAGAGTGAATATCAACTCTGATTATCAAGTACATCCAGTTGATGAGTCCCAGATCGGAGAAAATACACGTCAAACTTGGTTTCACTTCTAGCCAATATCTTTGCTTAAAAATGTTTTTAATGTCTCAACTAGCAGTAACTACAGAGCATACAACATAAGTGGCATGCTTAAAGTGAAACATTTGTTCATCATATGTCACTTTAGATTGTATATATCAAATTATATATAAATAAAGTAGAAACATGTATATCATAAGAACAGCTAGATGGGCTTTATACTTATGATAATGAATGTACTGTTATAATTCGTGGAATTGTGCTTCCATTAATGTATAACGTTATAAAACGGTCAATTAAAGAATAGTGATTTATCGACGGTACCAATGACGCATAAACCGGTACGAGCAGTCTAGAGTACTTATCGGTCCTGCCTTCTGCCTGGCCCTGCTTGTCTCTTAATTCCAGAACACAAATCTCAACCTTCGTGATATTAATCATGTATTTCAAATATACAGAGTTTCTATATAAACCAAACAAACCACATCGTGCCATATAATAGGAAACAGCATTCGTACAAGATTTAGCCGAAAGTGGCTGTGAATGTGGTAGACTGTAATTAATTGACAGGGCATAACTCGAGAATGGTAAATGGTATAATAATAAATCGTAGGTCAAAATAAAGCTTATGACAATGACTCTCACACTGTATGAGAATAACATGTGCCTAAATCCATGGTTGCTTTGGTTTTCAGAACAAGCATCAGCCCCGTGACTTCCGAAAGAATTCGGCTTTCGCCATAAGACATCATAACTCTTCTAAATGAAGATTTTCTAACTCCCGGGGCAGAGTTTAAATGGTCTGAATTATTTTTTCTGGTTGGCGTTTTTTAGAGAGTTAGTTTCTTACAGGATGGGGTCGCTAACTCCGTACCCAACCCTCCTTCTTTATCCGAACTTCGGACCGGCAGTAGCTCCAGAGGGGCTCCAGAAGAATTCATAGTAAGAGGAACATGAATATGCATAATCTAGTCACCCAACAATTATACAATAAAAATGTATGTATTGTATTGATCCATAAATGGATCCCAAAATTTACTATCCACTTTTCTTATCAGGATATAACATTTACCTTTGACAACAATGAATTCACAAACTATGACCAATAAACAGTTTAACTCTTGTTACTTGTTGATCGTAACAAAAACATTTATGAACTCTGAACAAAGATCAAGTTCAATATTTCCATTAAGTAGAATATTCATTATTTATAATTGGAATTTTTTAAAGCTCAAAGGTATTTTTCTATGTTCTGTATCTGAATAATATGACTGTGAACCTCTGAGTTACATCTTATCTCTCTTAAAATATAGACAATTGATTATTCTTTCTTATCATATAACACCTTTTACCCATCGTAGAGGAGAATAGGTCGCTCAACAGAATTCTTCATCTAGTTTCGTCCCAAGCAATTCTTTCTTGTTGTTTCCAGTTACTATTCATCCTTTTAATGTCTGATTCTGATTACCTAACCTGGTGTGTACTTCGGCCTTACTATTCGCATTTTCCCTCAAGCATTCCAAGTTAGTGCTTGCTTCGTGATTCAGTTTGATGATTTCCGAAATGTGTATCCTATCCACTTCCAACGTGTTTTCTTAATTTCCTCTTCAGTTGGTAGCTGATTTGTTCTCCCCCACAGTAGGCAGCTGTTGCTGGTAGTATCCGGTCAACGGATATTGAGTATCTTGTGTAGACAATTGTTTTGAATACTTGTATTTTTTACGATGGTTGTGGTGGTTCTCGAAGTTTTAGCTCCGTACGGTAGAACTATCTTAGCGTCCGTATTCTCACTTTGATGTTGGCTTGCAAACAGGTATTTTGGTTACCATATATTCTTCAACTGTGGAAATGCTGCTATTGCTTTGCTAATCCTTGCCTTTATATCTGCATTACATCCTTCACGTTTGTCGACGATACTGCCCAAATACATAAATGTGCTTACGTTGGTGTTCTCCGTGCTGTATTTGGGGATCTTGCTACTTTCCTTGTGTGTGTTGATGCCTACTGATTCAGAGTCTGCTGCTATGCTAGTTGTCTTCATCTCCATCTGTTGATGTGTATGGGATAGAGAGACGAGGTCATTTACGAAATCCAAATCTTCTACTCGGTTCAGAGTTGACCATTGTATTCCAAGCCTTCTTCTCAGATGTCGAGTTTATAATAATTCATTCGAACACCAGAAAAGAGAGAAAGATGAAGAGTAAACAGCTCTATCTGACTCCGCTTGTTACTTGACAAATATCTATTCCAAGTAATTAATCTTTGAGTAAATACGTTTTAATGTTATTCCTATAATGCTATAGCTCAGCCACAATTAGACGTAATTTCTCGAAACTACACAAGTTTATAATGTAGTCATTTACTAGTGACTGACTTTCACGAGGTATTTCCTGGGTTTCTAGTAGGAACTTTTTCCTGAATTCCCTGGCACAGCTGAGGGTGTAGAGAGTCAGCTCACCTTCTCACAGCCTCTGTCAGAGAAGTTATACTCTCTGCCTTCTCGTGTCAGGGGTGTTATTTACGAAATTGAGATGATGAAAAGCGAATATCCAGCGATTTACCCGAGTTAGTGAACACGGAGAGTTTAGCAATGGGAGGTTGAAAAATTTTCATTCCAAGATTCTTAGCAAACGAGTGTTGTAGGAATCAATCGTTGCTCCATCGTCATGTAGATTAGATCTTTAAGTTGAAAACCCCAGGTGTTTCCCCCCAAGAAAAATACTTGCTACGGTCTGGAAAGTTGGACAGTATCACAGTCTACACGCAAATCAGTTGATTTGTGTGGCGCCTGTGTATTTGGTTCTCCACTGTACGAATATTTATGTGTTGAAATAAATAAATAAGTGAAAACATGTGGCCAGTGGTATTCAATCATGTTTGTTTTCAAGGCAGGTACTCACCAGCGACAATAGTGAACGGTTGTGTAATATCGTAAATTAATTAAAGTTAAACACTAACACCATTGTACACCATCTCGATGATCTACAGTTCAAGAGTCTGCCCACGAGTCCGAACGTCCTAGGTTCGAGCTCCGCATACGAAATTATGTATATGTATACTACTCCGAGTCACATACTACTTTAACTTGATACTAAACACTTATAATCATAACTGAAATTGAAAAACAATTTACAAGAAATCTTTAACTACCAAATCAATTTCATTTATCTAAAAGTTTGGCAAAAAGAAAGTTCAATGTGACAATGTAACAAACAAACTGACGAATAGATTCTCTTTTTTTCTTCAATGTTTTTCTCTTTTTTTGTTTTTTGTTTTTTCTTATCGATTTAAAATGGAAAATTAAATAGTAGTCGAGAACAAATATTAATTATATCAATCATAATTGCTAAGGTATTAAAGAATACAGTATATAATAATATAGATGCTAATGAATAATTAGGATAAAAGATAAGACATCTTAATTTGCCAATAGTTATATAACTGATAAATATTGTGATCTGTAAAATAAAAGAAACATGGATCAGTATGAAGATGATAGTAATTTGAATGGTTGAGTTGACGAATTGATTTGAATTAGATGCATCATTGAAATCCTAAATGCAGTAGATGGCAGTTTAATCATAATATTGAAATCTTCAACTGTACACACTTATGATTATGTTAGATCAGTTGTCTAGAGGTTAAACATTTGTATGTAAGATTGAAGGTCTTGGGTTCGAGTCCCATGTTTTGGATGATGGATGAGTACTGTTGAACAGTCTCATAATAGGGTGAAACAGCCATTTAGTGTTTCCATGTTTTCAATGGTGATTTAGTTTAGATTCACCCATGAATTTAACTGTTTTAAACAATAACAAGTGTAGATTTCTTATTTTGATAATGAATGCATAAAAAGACGAGTCTATTGAAATTCCTTTTTAGTAAACGTGATTCGATGATACTTCTTGGGCAATTTTACGAAGGAAATATTAACGGAAATGAAATTAATAGTTTCTCAACTGAATTTATGAGTAAAGTTTACTTCGTATTGTTTACTTGAATTTTTCCGTTGATGTTGATCTGTCTCTCTCTCTTATTAACATATGTCCATTGTGTGAAGAGTGCCTCGATATTGTCTTAGGTCACATGCATTATAAGCAAAGATGGATAGTGATTAGTAATGGAACCCAGGACTCTCGTTTTTGTTCCATTTGGGACTCGTCAACTGCATGTACCTGAATCTCCGAGTTGATGTTCATTCTGTGACTCGAACCCAGTAGTATTCACTTCAAAGGTAATCGTGTTATCAACTTAGCTACAGAGTCATGATTGCCAGTTGCTTGTGCAATAGTTTGAAGTTTGAATTCTGTTGATATTGTTTACTTGGATCTTTCCATTGATGTTTAGGGCTACGATTGACCAGACTCTAATCGACACATGTAAATCTATGGGAAGATTCAAGCATGCAATACCAGGTGAATTTAAACTTCACCCCAGTGCACAAGCAACTGGTAATCATGACTCTGTAGCTAAGTGGATAACGTGATGGCGTTTGAAACGAACGGTACTGGTCACAGAGTCACAAAGTGCACAACAACTGAGATTCGGGTACATCCAGTTGATAAGTCTCAAATAGGACAAAACGCGCATCAAACTGCATTCCACTGCTAGCCACTATTCATCTTGATTTATGAAATTACAAGTACTCGTTTATCTAAAGATTGGAATGTATTACATTAATAAATTTGGATATAGTAATAGATGTTATGATTTTTCAACAGTCAGATGATTGAACAATATCACTATGTGTAGAATACGTTACAAAGTACACAGCCTAAGGCTTTTACGAGGACAGTACATCGGAACACATTTCTTAATTCAAATAATAGATATTTTATCCTCGAAACTCATACTTAAGATAGTTTTACTGTATGGAGCTGAAACTTCGAGAACTACCACAACCATTATAAAAAACTACAATTATTTATAAACAATTTAAATAAAGCAAGAACAAATATTGATGCAGAATAGTATGAATTCACAATGTAAAAATTCTATCACATTTTTTGGTTTGTAAGCAGCTGACGAGAAACCTCGAAATAATATGAATTCATACTATTCTGCATCAATATTTGTTCTTGCTTTATTTAAATTCATAAAGGGAACCAATTGCATGAAATTTTTATAAACAATTGTCTACACTAGATACTCAATATCCGTTGGCCGAATACCATCAACAAAAGCCGCCTACTTTCGGAGAAGACAAACTATCTTCCAGCTGAAGATGAAATTAACAAAAAGATGTTGGAAGTGGATGGGACGTACATTTAGGAAATTATCAAACTGAATCACAAGGCAAAGATTAATTGGAAAAGTAAGAAAGGTAAACGAAGGGACACACTGCGGCGGAAATTGCAAGTAGACATGAAATGGATGAATAACAACCGGAAAGAACTGTAGAGAATTGTCTATGACAGAGTTGACGTATATATATGGAATACATTTCATTCCTTCTCCTCGAAATTTCTGCAGCAATATACACACTTTTCGAATGTCAGTAACGTTATGGATAATAACTTTTGCATTGTTCTGTAATTTTAACAATTTTTAAATTTATCATTGTAGAGTTACAGAGTTTATCGAGCTATAAGTGATATCACGAATCAGTCGATGTTTGGCCACCATTGAAAACCTGGAAGCACTAGACGGTAGTCTCGTCATAGCGTGGGACTTCTCAGAAGTGCACATCCACGACCCCGTATGCGGGACTCAAACTAAGTGCCTTCAACCTCGCGGGCGAGCACTTAACCTCTAGGCCATTCATCTGGCATCCAACTATGTTGAATTTCAACCAACCCACCAAATTGCGCGACCGTCTTTGATTTTCTTTGGCGGGTAACTGCGTCAAACTCGAAACGGTTGAACTACATTGGTCATAGTTTCTCACTAGAACTACAAGAATCACCTTTCGAAAATAGTTGCAAGTGAGCACATGATAATTATCAATATTTGATTGTGGAGATTTTGAGACAGTGCTTACAGGTGGTCTAACATTGATGGGTCCATGAAAAAACGTCATTACTTAGCAACATAGTAATTCGAACTGATATACGTAGGTACAAAGTTCGACGTCGTTACTGACTGACTGACTGACATATCCAGTTTGCATACACTACAGAAATACGAAAGATGAATAGATTATGTTTCCTATAAGTCAATCATTACGTAACCATATAAACTATAAATAAATGTAACTTACAATGAATGAAAATGTTATTGCAGCTATATAGAAAGCCAGAGCTATTAGCTACAAAACAAAATTAAACTATTAGCGAAATTTACATTTGACTAATTAACAAATTTTCAATGTTGAATTGACTAGTTGATCTTAGCTAGACTACCATTTGAAAACCTGGAATTACTGGACCGCCGTTTCATCTCAGTATGAGATTACTCAACATTATACAAGGAAGATCCGAATGTGAGATTCGAAGAACTGACTAGTGACTATTGACTATTTGCCAACATCATCATACACATTTGAAAATCGTTAGAACTGCAATGTGTGTTACTGATATCGACAGATATGAGTAGTATGTGTGTCACTAATCGAAGGTGAAATAACTGGCGGAATAAGGTTAAGAATATCGAAGAAAAGAGATGATAACGAGAACAGAAAATGATTGGTGTGGAAACAATTGATTGACATATTGCAATTGAAGTATTTACTGTATTGTTGTCAGATGTTACATCTTGCTGACGAGTGTCCAGTAGCACGAAACCCAGGTCCAAATTTTCCTTTTATGTGCCTCCAACCACCATCTTTTCTCAACATAGTGCACGCAATGTCGAATCACCTAGACTAATGGCCACATTGAAACTTGACCTATATCATTCGATCTGCACTAAGAAGGACCTGACACACATGACACTGATCATCACCCAGTGTTCAATCAACCATGAATCATCTGTAATTTAGTGTTTAAATACATTCAATTGTCACCAATGATGCTCTCGTTTATTACAGAACTAGAGAAATGTTCGAAAATGTTTTTAAATAATCAACATTTCTAATATGTACCTGGAATATCTACAAGTTAATTCAAACACATACTTCCTGTGTTTATTTGTCCAAGTAATAATTTGATGCACGAAGTATACTTATTTACTTACTTACTTACACCTGTTACTCCTCGTGGAATAACACAACTCCGCTTGTAGCTCTTCCAGAGTTACTTCCGGTTCCAAGCCCAGATGAAGAAAGAGGGTTGGGTATCGGATCGGCAGCCCCATCCCATTGAAAACATGTTGCAGGAAGTATGGTTAATTATACATTCCTAACTTACAATTGTACTCACAGTTTGATTGCTAAAGGTCATTGAAGTTTAGTAGTCGGTTATGAATTAACTGACTAATGGTGTAAGTTTTAATAGTCCCATTGAATCAGTCAATGATTATAAATATTGTGAGACTACTCAGCAGTGCGCACTCAAGATCCTGCATCGCAAGATTCAAACCCAGAACCCATCAGTTTCACGCTCGAGTGCTAAACCACTAGATTATTGAATCAGCCGGTATACAGTGGTGTTAATGTTTAACTTCAAACAATCCACGAAATTGAGCGATACATCCACCATTGTCTCTAGTGGGTCCAATGCTTTCAGGTTTTCCATGGTGGCCTAGCTCATGATCTCAATCATTAAAATTACTATAATATCCACAAAAACCTCAGCGAGACTTTAATTTATGGGCGAAGTAATCAGAAGCGTTCGAGAGATTTCAAAGTCACGGCGCTAAATTCAGTGCTTAATGCTAACATACGATCAGTTCACAGGGAATTTTGTGAAAAACGTGATAATTGAGGGGCTGTATCAAATAAAACAGCTAGACTATAATTTCTGGACAAATCAATCAGGCGTAGGACAACAGATCTCGGAATTTTGCGCAAACGTCTTCCATGCATTTGGCTAAATATGTTTTTGATATTATAGCTGGTGTCAGTTCGTGATGAAAACCCTTTATATATAATTACTAACTGAGGCAAATTATGACAATTATTGAGAACTGGATAATAAAGACACCAGGAACACTGGATGCAGCCAGGTAGCACAATACATGTGGATGATTGAAGAGCGTACAGACTCCTACATATGCTTAGTTACGTGCATCGTGTCGTCATCCACAAGTGGCATTTTGTGTAGCCAACAATCGGAGTGCACACAAACAATATTGAAGCTGTGCGGTTGAGGTTGATAGACTTTTTGAGACTTTATTATGGCTCCAAAGGCCGAATGTTATGGAGCTATATGGATGATTCCCTCTACTGCACGCATTACAATTTTAGAACATCTGAACACTTTTCCAACCACGTATAAGAAGTGTATCCACTTTATTTCTTTGGTTTTGTATAATATATTTTCAATCTATACTTTCTGTTTGCTGATTGGCTAATATTTATCAAGGTCACCTAAGATTCGTTCAAAGGTCGTTCACAAATCATAGTCTCGCTAAAAACTCTTCTGAAATGGATTATGAATTAACTCAATTTTTCGTTTAAAAGAAAACTAGATTCAACCACGATTACGTAATTTATGCATCGAATAATTAGGATACCTTGATTCCTGAAAAGATGAATGCGATTGCAGCTATTATAAACGTAATAAATATCGATGTAACAGATATTAGAAGACTTTTTATTTTGTCCGCCAAATTTGTCTTAATCGCTGCACCAATCAACACTGCACATATGAATAACACCAGACTAATTCCAAAAGCTGCAATTTTTAGAAGAACATATAATTGCATATACCAAATTCCTAATGCTAACGCCATACAACCAGACTGTAAATGAGAATGAATATTATGGTGTAGACGAAATATATTCATTCATATACGCTGCGAAACACTTTGTTAATAATAAGAGTACAGTTTATAAATAGGAATAGACAATACTTAAGAAAAGATGTTTAGTGGCTAGTACTGGAATCTAGAACACGCGTTTTGTTCTGTTCAGGACTGGTCATCTGGATGTACCTCTATCTCAGAGTTGATGTTCACCCCGTTACTTAAACTCAGTATCGTTCGTTTCAAACATCATCGCGTTATCCACTTATCTACTGAGTCCTGATAGTCAGTTGCTTGTACAATAAGGTGAAGTTTTAATTCACTTATTATAGTTTTACTTGGATCTTCCAGTTGATATTTACGGCCTTAATTGATCATCATCTCTCTTATTCGTAATCCGCCTATAGCTCTTCTAGAGTTACTGCCGGTTCCAAGCCCGGGTAAAGGAGGAGGGTTGGGCATGGGGTTAGCGTCCCCATCTCGTAGAAAACTAACTCGCTAAAAAACACTTACCGGAAAAAATAATTCAAACCATTTTAACTCTGCCATGGGAGTTAGAATGTCTTCATTTAGAAGAATTATGACGCTTCATGATGAAAACCGAGTTCCTTCGTAAGCCATGAGACCGATGCCCCTTCTAACAATCAGAGCACCAATTTTTATAGGTTCATGGAACGTTCGAACAATGTGAGAGACCGGGAAGACCAGTCAAATAGCAACAGAAATGAGAAGATACAACTTGGCAGTACTGGGAATCAGCGAAACCCACTGGACCCAAGCTGGACAGAAAAGGCTAGCTACGGGAGAGATGCTGCTATACTCCGGTTACGAAGAGGAAAATGCTCCACAAACTCAGGGAGTCGCTCTAATGCTGTCCAAAGTAGCACGAAATGCACCTGTAGGATGTGAGTCGCACGGATCCAGAATCATCAAAGCATCATTCAAAACAAAGAAGGAGGGGATCTTAATGAATATTATCCAATGTTATGCACCCATCAATGACAGCAACGACAACATGAAAGATCAATTCTATGGGAGGTTGCAATCAATCATAGAGAAGTTCCTAAGAAAGGACCTCATCATTCTGTTGGAGATCTAAACGCGAAAGTTGGAATCGACAACACCGAATATGAAGATATCATGGGATGACATGGACTGAAAGAACGAAACGAAAATGGGGAACGATTTGCAAATCCGTGTGCATTCAACAAATTGGTCATAGGAGGCACAAACGTATACACAAATCTACATGGATTTCACCGAATCACCCCACAGAGAGCCAGATAGATCATACTTGCATCAATTAAAAGATCCGAAGGACAATAGAAGATGTGAGAACCAGGAGAGAAGCTGACACAGCTTCGGATCCCCACCTAGTTGTGGTCAATTTAAAACTGAAGCTGAAGAAGAACTGGACAACTGGACAAACAGCACTATATAGGTTCAATACAGCCTTACTTCAAGATACTGACAAACTCAATGAATTCAAGATAGCTCTCAACAACAGGTTCTAAGCCTTATAGGATCTACTGAAGTAAGAAGAAACTGCTATGTAGGACAGCTGAAAAGGTATCAAAGAAGCAATAACTTCAACGTATCAAGAGGTTCTGGGCCTCAAGAAGCATCATCATAAGGAATGGATCTCTATAGAAACACTGGACAGGAACAAAGGTAGAAAGAAAGAACAAGAAGACAGCAATTAACAACAGCCGAACACGAGTAGATAAAGTCCAAGCACAGGATGAGTAAATAGAAGCAAACAGGCAAGTGAACAAGAGCATTAGAGTCGACAAGATAAAGTTCGTGGAAGAACCAGCAAGAACGGCGAAAAAAGCTGCAAGAGAAGGAAGTATGAAACAGCTTTACGATGCAACGAAGAAACTATCAGGTAAATATAGTAAACCAGAGAGACCAGTCAAAGACAAAGAAGGCAAGCCAATTACTGAAATTCAAGAACAGTGGAACAGATGAGTAGAATACTTCGAGGAACTCCTGAATAGGCCGGCTCCAATGAATCCATCGGACATCGAAGCAGCACACACAGATCTTCCCATAGACGTCAATCCACCAACGAAGAAAGAAATCAGAATGGCCATCAGACAAATGAAGAACGGAATAGCAGCACGACCCAACAACATACCAACTGAAGCACTGAAGTCGGACATCGAATTAACTACAAAAATGCCTCACCTTCTATTCAGGAAGATTTGGGAGGAGGAACGAATGCCCATGGACCGGAAAGAAGGATATCTCATCAAGATTCCAAAGAAAGGAGACCTGAGCAAATGTGAAAATCACAGAGTCATTACACTACTGTCAGTTCCAGGGAAGTTCTTTAACAGAGTGTTGCTGAACAGGATGAAAGATTCAGTAGACGCCCAACTTCGAGATCAACGAGCTGGATTCCATAAGGATCGATCGTGCACAGACTAAATCGCGACACTACGGATCGTCGTTGAACAGTCAGTTGAGTGGAACTCGTCACTATACATCAACTTCGTTGATTATGAAAAGGCATTTGACAGTGTAGATAGGAAGACGTTATGGAAACTTCTTCGACACTATGGAGTTCCTGAGAAGGTTGTCAACATTATCCGGAACTCATACGACGGACTACAGTGCAAGGTCGTGCATGGAGGACAGCTGACAGGCGCATTCCAAGTCAGACAAGGCTTCCTACTCTCCCCCTTCCTCTTTCTTCTGGTGGTCGACTGGATTATGAAGACCTCGACATCTGAGGGAAACACGACATACAATCGACAGCTCACAACCAATTAGACGATTTGGACTTCGCAGATGACCTAGCCCTCCTATCACGTACACACGAACAAATGCAGATAAAGACAGCCAGTGTAGCAGCAGTCTCTGCATCAGTAGGCCTCAGCATACACATGGGGAAAACCAATGTCCTCAAAAACAACACGGAGAACAGAAATCCAATCACTCTTGATGGCGAAACTCTGGAACATGTAGAATCCTTCATATACCTGGGAAGCATCATCGATAAACAAGGAGGTTCCGATGCAGACGTAAAGGCGAGAATTGGCAAAGCAAGGGACACATTTCTACAATTAAAGGACATATGCAACTCAAAACAACTTCAAACTGATATCAATGTCAGAATCTTCAATAAGAACGTCAAGGTAGTTCTACTGTACGAAGCTGAAATTTGGAGAACTACTACAACCATCATCAAACATGTACAAGTATTTATAAATACTTATCTACGCAAGATACTCAACATCCATTGGCTGGATGCCATCAGCAACAACCTTTTATGGGAGAGAGCAAATGAGCTTCCAGATGAAGAAGAAATTAAGAAAAGACGACGAAAATTGATAGGAAATACATTATGCAAATCATCAAACTGCATCATGAGACGATCCCTAAGTTGGTATCCTGAAGAGAAGCAGAAAAGAGGAAGGCAAAAGAACACATTACGTCGGATAATAGAAGCATATATGAAAAGGATGAATAACAACTGGAAGGAGCTGGAGAGGATTGCCCAGGACAGGGTTGGATGGAGAATGCTGGTGAGCGGCCTATGTTCCTTCACGAGGAGTAACAGGCGTAAGTAAGTAAGTAAGTAAGTCTCTTATTGGTAAATGTGCATACTCTGAGATACAGGTGGACTTGGATGAAGTCTATAAACAAGCTTGTAATCATTATGTTAATCATTAGAGTGACCAAGATCGATTATTTGTTCAATGGTAGAAACCCTTAATTTCTTTCCTATCACCTTTGTAGAACAATAATTTAGTAAATTGTCAAATCATCGCTGTAAATAATCTCTAGTTATGGCCTGTTTATCTTGTTACACAACAGCTTATGAATTGGTAGATTTGTGTAGATGTGCCTTGACGATAAAGCTTACCATTCACAGACTTTTGATTAAGATCGCGAATAAGTAAATGTTAGACCCTTATTGAGAAACTAGATGGTCATTTCGTCTTAGTATGAGACTCCTCAATGGTGAACATCCGTGATCCCGCATGTTGTATTCGAAACAAGGATCTTCGATCTCTCTCGTAAACGTGAGGTTTTCAACGGTGATCAAACATTGATTCATTCATGATCTCAATCAAAACTCAACAATCTCCACGACCATATACTAATAATTTACAGATTAGCCTCATGGAATATGGTTTTAATAACTGTTGATCGCCGATTTGTAAGTACATCAGATGACTTGTCAGCTTTAAATTACACATTCTTAAAAAAGTACTTACTACAACTAAAATGAAATAACAAGCAAGCATAATTTCTTGTCCAATTCAATAAAATCCAATTATAGAGGTTGTTTAACTGGTCGTTTCATTGTTCACTTTCAATAAATCGAACTCATTAGACATCCATTACTCATTCTTATTACACCAACATAAAAAAATCAGACAGAATGACAAAGTTTTTTTTACACTGACATCCACAGATGGATTTCAACTAATGAAATGATGCAGCATCTCATATCCTGATCATATTTTAAAGAAAAGCATATTGATGTCCAAACTGAACCAACTTCCTTTCATCTCAGAAACGGAACCCATCGATTAGAATCGGAGAAAACCAACATCTCATTGCGACCCTGTCCTTGCTCTCTCTCTCTTTCTCTCTCTGTAGGCTTTTGTGTACATGCGAATTTTAACATAGCAATAGTTATTTAAAAGGGTTCAGTCAGGAAGCCGTCATCTATATCATTAAACATCGTAATATGGATCAATATGTAGCAAATAGTTTGAGTAAATGGTACACTAGTACAGTCAACTAAGATTAATATCAAGTGAGAACGTGAATTTTCTGTGAGCATCAACATAGATAATACCATCAATAAAGTGGAAAGTATGATAAAGAGAATATATAGAAGTTATACAATCTTTTATTATTATTCGTCACACTAAATAATCTACTTATTACATCATCATGATTGTTTGTTAGTTATTGTTTTACACGAGATTACTATTACTACTACTACAACTACTATTATACAACTGTTACTACTACCATACTACTTCAACTACTACCACTATACTACTACTTCTAATACGACTATTACTACTACTAGTATTACTACTAATACTACCATACTACTACTACACTACTACTACTACTACTACTACTACTACTACTACTACTACTACTACTACTACTACTACTACTACTACTACTACTACTACTACTACTACTACTACTACTACTACTACTACTACTACTACTACTACTACTACTACTAGTCATAGACTGTAGTTGTCTTCATTTTGTGTGTTATCAACTAAAGACTTCAAACCGTCGCGTGAACATCGAATTTCCTGCAAAACTGGTGTTCTCATCGACTTACTTTAAATTAATTTTTCTTGTATTATGTAGGTGAACCTGAATAAATGTTCATCTACTATGAAAAAGAAAAGATTCTTAGCAATTCTTACATAAGCAATAGCAAGAGTGACATTCTCTGGAAATGTCTCATTTATCTTCTTTACAAAACAAATTAATAATGCGATCACAAGTGCAATCAACCTACAAAATAGAACAGAAATAAACAAAAGTGATATATATGATCAGAAAAGGGTTTTTATAGATATTACAGTAATTTAATCGTTGAATTCATAAGTCGATTGAAGCTAGATCGCCATGGAAATACATGGAAGTAATGGACGGGCGTTTCAATTTAGTTTAGGACTCCTCGGTAGGGCGCATTCAAGATCACACCTCTCAAGATCCTAACCAACGACCTATCGGTCTTGCACGTGAACGCTTAACATATAGACCATTGAACCGGCCGGCATCCAACGATGATAATGTCTAACTTCAACTAATCCACAAAATTGCACCACTGTTCACCAATGTCTTCAGCGATTTACTATCTCATCCTGTAGATCCTGGATTTGAATCTTGCGAGGTGGGATCGTGGATGCGCACTGCTGAGGAGTTTCACACTAGGTCAAAACGGTCGTCCAGTGCCTCAAATGACTCATTATCTCAACCACTGAAATGACCATAATATCCATAAAATAGTCCTTCTGATATTAATCTTTCTTTTTGTTATACAACTGGCCATTCATTATTAGTATAAGTAGATTCTAAGCAGGTCGTACAACTATGAAGTTACAAATTTATTGTAAATAATAAGAAAAGATTAGCAGTTTGATGTAAAGAGTACACAATGGTTTTCATTCATAGAATGGAATGTAGTACTTATGACTACTGGACACAATCCGATCTTAATGGTGAGACTATAATTTATGCATGAATCAATCAGACGTAAGATAACAGGTTTTGGATTTTGACGCGAAATTCATTCATCTATCTGACCAAATAGAGTTTCGGTATTATAACTGATATCAGTTCGTAACGAAAACCCTAAATTTAATTCAATATATTGGTTTATAACTTACATTCATTCCTAGTTATTAGATGGATAGTCTCAAGATCCTTTACGTATATGGGTAACATCATTGATGAACATGGTGGATCTGATGCAAATGTGAAGTCGCGGATCGGCAAGGCAAGAGCAGCATACCTACAACTGAAGAACATCTCGAACTCAATATAACATTAAGATAGTTCTACTGTATGGGGTTGAAACTTGGAGAACGACGAAAGTCCCTACAAAACACTTCGGATCCGTTTGCCAGACACTATTAGCAACAACTTAATGTGGGAGAGAACAAACTGGATTCTGGCGAATGAAGAAATCAGCAAGAAGTGCTAGAAGTGGATAGGATGCTCATTGAGGAAGGCACCCAAATGCATCGCAAGACCAGCTCTCACGTGGAATCCTTAACGTCAAGTGAGGAGAGGAAGACCAAATAACAGATTACGCCGAAAATGGAGTCGGACATGAGAAGAATGAACAATCATTGGATAAAACAAGGAAGAATATTTCATGACAGATTGGGTTAAAGAGTGCTGGTCGGTAACCGGCTAAAGTAAGTAGGTAAGTATACATGCAATAGTCCTAAGGTCACTCTAGCGTCACACAAAAGTTATCCATAAATTATAATCTCATCAAAATAACCTTGAAAAAGACAAATACTTCAATGAAACGATCTACTAATACAATAACATTATCATGACAATCTAAATCAATATTCAAACCCTAAATGCATTATAATGATCACTTGGTAATTATACAATATGAATAATGAAGTAACAATAAAATCAATAAATGTAATTACAATGATTATGTCATCAAAAAACTTTACGTATATTACATACACAAATAAACCAGTAGCCGTTGTCTGTATTAATGATGCAATTGAAAAATTTGATTGATAACTATGGAAACAAAACAAAAAAGAGAACATTTATTGATCAAACTATTTACGATAATGACATGAATAATATGACAATCAATGTGAATAAAATTTGTGCTATAAGAATCATTAACACCTATAAATGGGAATGATTTTATGATTGATGAAGGATAATCTACCATTAAGGCATATGTGGATACAATTAGTAAACGATTAACAAGTTCCATCTGATTCATCATGTTGACTTCATCAATGGAATTCCATTCAAGATTTTCAATCATGACAAGCATTACTTCCAAAGTTGTTTCCTAGAATAAACAATAAATTATCATATGAAAGTTTCATCATAAATGTGATGGATGACTAAATGTATTATAATGAATGAGAAAACAGGCGTATACAACTAAATCCTTTAAAAGGGTGTGGGTGAAGGTAGTGTGTGCTGTTGATGTCTACAGATATAAGTAGTCTGTGCCAGTAACCGGAAGTGAAATATCTGGAGGCAGAGGGTTAAGAAAATAAATGAGATAAAGAACAGAGAATGATTGGTATGCAAACGAAGGCACAATAACGACTAAATACACTGCGTAAAATCACAAAAACAGCGAGATTATCATTTATGGACGAATCAATCAGATTTAGGATAACGGGTCTTGCATTTGATCGTGGAATTCAAACATCCACTTGTCTCAATAACGTCTTCACATGTTAACTGATGTGAGTACTTGGTGAAAAGCCGAAATCCACATCCTGACAGTAAATCAACTCTAAAGAATTAGTCTCATCCATCATATTGAAGTAATAATCCTCATTTAGTCCTAGATTAATAGATGGATATACTGAAGGTCAATTCTCATATGGTAACGTTGACAAGAGCATGTGTAAATGTTATGTACATAGGTATGACAATCCATGACTAACTGTTCTAAAGCTACAATGGTTCGTTCAATGGAATATTCATTCAATGATGGAAGTTGAAAATTTGAATTAATTTTCGGCGAGACTACAATCAATGGACGACCTTTAAGTGAAGCTGAAGTGACCTTGAGACTGAATAACTAGAACCACGTGAAGATTGTAAACCAGTGTGAGTAAATGTAATTTTGCTTTACATTTGATGGTCAAGGTTAGGGATTGGATTTAGGTTTTTCATGACGAACTGAAATCAGCTGTAATGCGAAAACCATATTTTGCCAAGTAGGTGAGTGAATTTCGCACCCAAATTCGAGATCTGTCATCTTATACGTGATTGATTCATCCATAAATTATAGTCTCGCCGTACGTTTCAAATGTAAATAATGTAAATGATTATTATCATTACAAATATGATCTTACTTGTGTTTAGAATTGGATAATTTACGTATGGCGTTTCTACTCGACGGAATCAAATGACAAAATGTACTTGTACGTAATCTGCAGTAAACTGAGAAGCTTGTTGAATTCCATTGTTGATAAGATTCTGTATGTTTGTTTATTCATTTCAATAGACTACCAATAATTATAATTTATGTAATTCACTTGACACTATTCGTTGTGTAGTCTCATTGGATAGATAGACATATTGTACAAGGAGTTTGATCTCTAAAAACAGTTTACGCAGTGTAGTCATAGAGTACAAATGCGATTTGACAGAAAACCGTTATTATTATGTTTATTTATTGGAAAACATAAATATCGGTAGAAGGAGCAATCGAATGGATGTGCGCCATACGAATCAATCGATTTGTATGCAGGCTAGAGTACAGCGCTGGTGCTCAAATCGAAGCACGTGATTTTCTTACACAGCCACACACAGAGCGCCGCACATTCATTTCGATCTCCCAATTTTGTAAATGACATCTCATTGGCAAGGAGGCAGTGGGTAGGCTATGTGAGACGTTCGAGAGCGGAAGCTAACTGTCCCAATCCTCGGCCTTACCATGGCATTTCGCATAGGTTATTGATGAATGATGAATGATACAGGAATACTCCATTTAATATAGCATATAAAGCCAGATCATGAAATGAATTGGTTGTGTAAGTTGATTATATACTAGTAGAAACATGAATGAGAATGATGTACTCGTTGGAAGCAAACTTCGTTTTCTACTTCTGGATGCCAGCTTAGTGGCGTGGAGAATAAGAGTTCGCATGCGAGACAGAGTGGTCCTGCGTTCGAATCTCACGGGGCGAGATTGTGGATGCGTCTTCCTAAACAATATCACACTAGGACGAAACGGTCCTTTAATGTATCGAGGTATTCCATACTGGTCTAGCTTCAATTGACTTATACATTCAACTGTCAAATAGGTGTAAGTTGATGATTAATCACTGAAAATGTCTAACAAAAATTCAAAGTAACTCCGGTACTGTAATGTTCGTGTGATTCTAGTATAAGCTGTATCTGATTCATAACCACATCACCTGCTGTTTTATGATGTTTCAAGTAAAAAAATATAGTTATTCACAAACGCATATTAAAGAACGATAAGAATGACAAACCACACGATTGAACAATCACAACATAGTAGTGTGCTACAATATGCTCTGACGTAACACCTCACATACTAGAGCAATGGTTATATGCAGCAAACGTTTCTCTCAATATTCCATCTGAAATAAAATGTGACATCAATGTCCCGAGAAAAATCCAATGCCATGGTGTTCAAGATGATGAATCGCTCTAACATGGGCGTTACACTTAGACAGATCAAACTGGAGGAATGGATGCTAAATTGCCTTTTATTACCTTCTGTCTAAACCTTTCTCAACATCTTACAATTCACAAAAGCCCTTTATTCGTTTCCAATAGTGTATTCTCATATGGAATGATAGACCTATGTGAAGAATACAAGTAATCGAAATGATTGACTATCTATTAATAGTCAAAACTGATCAATTACTGCATTTCCCATTCTTATCCTAATCAGTATCCACGTTTTGCAGTACAATTGACGATATTATATTCAGAATAATTAACGTTACATGGAAACATGAAAATGTTCTTCCCTCGTTGAATAGCGGATGAAAGAATTGTCTATGTAGTAGATTGCTGTTCCAGGATGATATACATCAGACGTTATTCTTAACCGTGATATGTCACCTATAATAATAATAACAATATTTGTTTAGATATTGTCAACAAACGTAAAGACTGAATTTTTCAGTATTACGTATCTTATTGTTCATTATTCTATATTATTGTGAAGTACATATTCAATATGAAATTCTTCGATTCTTAGAAGATGGCGAATATTAGGCAGGCTGTGTAAGATAATTCATAAATATTATGTGAATGTACATGAAACTTCGTTCACGTACTCACGTAAAAGTATCACTCTTGATCCATTCAGCTGTACATTATATCGATCTTCAGATCCCAGATGCGACGTTTCTTCCGAATTTTTATGATTGGTGTGAACTAGATCAATGTCGTATTTCTTGATGTTCTTGTTATAACAAATGTCATGTTGGTTCTTTTCCTATATGAAAGAATAGTTTCACGATATTTAGGCATCGAGTTAATGGAAGGCATTAAAGAAGTAGAATTTACTCAAAATTCAATCGAAGTGAGTTCAGAAATATGTATACTACCTCCTTAATATATAATGTTTACTTGTTCATTGAAACATACTTTCACATCTGGAAGCACTCATTGTAGTGATAAATTAAAATATCACATATTGGACAAACTGAATATCAAGTATCTTGAAAATATGTGATAATATTGGAGTTGGCTCACTTGCATTTTCTACTCTCCCCTTTTTTGTTCAAACTGCTTAACCACTTCCCATTCTTAATGTCTGTCTGGATAAACGATTGCTTGAGACTTATTCCTACAACGTAACCTAAATTTGGCTTCTTAGTACCACTGTCACACAAATAGGGTTGGCTATATCTCCCTCTCCATATGCTCTCACATGGCCATGCGTTTACACAAACTGCATGGTAAGTCCTGATCACTCACACAACGAGTGTTGTTTACGAAGTTGAGAGGACGAGAAGAGAATATCCAGTGCTCTAACCGGGTTGGTGGATATAGAGGAAGTCGAAAAAACCCTCAATCCAAGCAAATGATGAGCATTGGATCTAGGATTTTGTGAGAAAAAGTCCGCCTTCGGCTACCAAAGTGTTACATCTCCTAACACTGCTTCACTGACTTGTGGACCACATCTTTAGGTGAAACGCTCCTGATGTGTCCCTCTAAGAAAAAACCTGCTTCCATCTGGGCACCCGGATAGTACTGTAGTGAATAAGAAAAAAATGGTGGCATTCTAATCCACATTAACACGAAACTACAGAATATCTTATCAAAATCTGAGAACTATACAATCAATACTTTATTTCCAAAATATCAATCTGTTTTCTCATACTTGGTTGTTTCATTGAAAATATCATTCCATCCTCTCAGTTTTCATTGCTCATGGAATTTCATATCAATTGCGTTCCGTTCTCATTATTTCCTTCTAGATTTTCTACTGAAATACATTCTATTCCTGACTATCGTTATGCACTACGAACATGAGCATAAGTAGGTCATACCACAGCATCACAACCCAAATATAAATCAAGTGCCTTGTGTGGCGTATGCCTATTCAGTACCGCCTTTGTACAAATATTTATGTGTTCTATCAATTGGCATTTCTTTTACTCTATGACAACAATCGACAAACTGTTTCAGCATGTTTGTAATGATCCTACTCATTGTTCAATTTGTCTATCTATCCAATTAGATCACGTAACGAATAGTGTCAATTAAATGAACCAGATAATTCACAATGATTGGTAGTCTATGGAAGTGAATAAACAAACATACAGAATCTAATCAACAATCGAATTCAATAAGCCTCACAACTAGCTGACGATTGAATACAAGTACACTATTCTAAACACAAGTAAGACAATATTTGTAATAATCATGAGAGTAATCACTCACATCATTCACAATTGAAATAAACTTCAATTTCTCTACTATCGTCATTGAATGAATATTCCATTGAACGAACCATTGTAGCTTTCAAACTGTTAGTCATGTATTATGTCATACCTATGTACATAACATTTACACATACTCTTGTCAACGTTACCATATGAGAATTGACCTTCAGTATATCCATCTATTAATCTAGGACTAAATGAAGATTATTACTTCAATATGATGGATGAGACTAATTCTTTAGAGTTGATTTACTGTCAGGATGTGGATTTCGGCTTTTCATCAAGTACTCACATCAGTTAACATGTGAAAACGTTATTGAGACAAGTGGATGTCTGAATTCCAAGCTAAAATCCAAGACCCGTTATTCTAAATTTGATTGATTCGTCCACAGGTTATTATGTTGATGTTTATGTGATTTCGGGAAATATGTTTATTCTTCATAGGTATTTCGCTTTTTCATCGAACACTCTCTGTTATCATTCTCGTTTCTTCTATTTAATCTCCTTGATTTTCTGCCGCTATACACTTCACTTTCAAATAATGATACATACTACATCGACATCAGTATCGTACACCACACTCATCCTCACCCCTTTAAAATAATTTAATTATAACCTCCTGCGTTCTCATTCATTACAGTATATTTAGTCATGCATCGAATTTGTAATGAAACTTTCATATGATAATTTATTGTTTATTCTAGGAAACAACTTTGGAAGTATTGCTTGTCATGATTGAAAATCTTGAATGGAATTCCATTGATGAAGTCAACATGGTAGATCAGATGGAACATGTCAATCGTTTACTGGTTGTATCGACATACAATAAATTAGTAAATTGTGTTTTATCATTGAATGTTATTCACAATGATAGGTGCTTATACTTGTTGCAATACAAATATCGGTAACATTGTTTGTTTTAATGATACTGTCAATACTGTAATTTACATAACCAATAATAATAATAATAATATTCGTCTATATTGTAGTAGGATAAAATTTCCATATGGCGAGCGATTAAAATCATCAATTATTTCTGGTTTGTTCTTGTATGTCATGTCATTTTTATTTTACAAATTATTGATAACCTGTTTAATAATTTACTTGAAAGTAAGATGGTGAATGAATAATTTGATTAAGTGCACGGTTACCTAATTAGTTACTTATGCTTATTACCCTTCGTTGAGTAGTATTTAGTAGTTTTATAAAAAGACCTCTTAATAATCTTGTAGGATTGGAAGATAAACAAGTTACATCAACAATAGCAACATATGGTACTTTTAATGATAACGAAATCGAAACTGAAAATATCAAAATATCAATATGGGGTTTTGGAGACGATTACGTTTTTCATAAAGTTCATGATGATCACGTTAGATTTCCATGGAAAACCTGGAAGCATAGGCCGAGCGTTTTTTCTATTGTGGGACTCCTCAGAAGTGAGTATCCACGATCATGCGCGAAAGCTTAAACTGTAGACCACTGAGCCGGCCGGAGTACATCTATTTTAATATATAACCTAAATCAATCCGCGACATCAAGTGACCATCTTCCAATCTACTGTGTAGGTACCTGTCTTTCTGCGTTACGGATTAGCTACACTGGTCATGGATTGTTTGAGGTTGGACATTTTTCTTACCTACATCATGATATGTCATACAAATACACCTTGACTAAAATGAACCTGATGCTGACACATTCAGACCTATTATGATATTATTGGATTAAAACGACTTCTGAATTGTTTCTTTTGTACTATTTCAACGTGTGTTAATCCTATTTCGGTTATTTGTTTGCTCTGAAGAGATGGCTCAAAGTAACGAAACATAAGAAGTACAATTTTCTACTGATTAGCATATAACAAAACATGTGCTGAGAATTCTATATTGTACCAAAAAGATAATATTGAATAAAGCCATTAATAATAATAATAATGTGTGTTTCGAATACATAAAATAAACTGGTTACCATGTACATCAGGATTTTGTATTTCAATAATTAACGTTCTTAATATGTAAATGACACAATTTACTTTAATAGAATGTTTTGATTATTGTGTGGATGTGTGTATGCGAATAAAACGATCAACTATCATCCTCAAATTGTTATTTTTCAGCATGTTGTGAATTGCTTACTTATATACGTATATAGTAAGGCTGATCTGTACGAGTTGGAGTAGTCAACACCACTCTCAATCCTTCTCTTTTACCCGGATTTGAGACCGACAGCAGCCTTAGAAGAGTTACAGTTGGAGTTTAAAAAGTTATGCTCAATAGTTATTTCTGTTTTCTATTGTAGTTTGATTGCACTTGTGGTATTCTTTTTGATTGCCTTCGTGAAGAAAATAGATGACAATTATCTACTAAATCTCTCACTTGTAATTGTTTACGTAAGAATTTCTGATATTCTTTTCACATTTACTTTGTTAGTCTGTTTAACATAATCCAATATAATCAAAGGTATGTAAGTGAGAGTAAGAGTACTGCTTGTAAATAATGATCAGATGTGACTGAAGAGGTTTTGGAAAGCGAAATCCTGACCGATTTAAATCTCCGATCTGTTGAGATAGACATATGAGGGGTTTCACTCATAGGCATTGTTACGGGAGAATCGAGAACATTTTGCTGAATAAAACCTTTTTGTTGTATGTTAATAAATTTACTGTGTTTTCGGGTGTATTTGTTTTAATTTCAACAGTTGAGAGCATGAGTCGATTGAAGCTAAACCACTATGGAAAACCTGGAAGCACTGGACGGCCGTTTCGCCCAATTTAGGGACCCTTCACCAGCGCGAATCCATGACTCCACCTCGCGGGATTCAAACCCAGGACGTATCAGTCTCGCATCAGGCGCTTAACCAACTAGGCCACAGAGGCGTCCAGTACTTCCAGGTTTTCCATGGTGGTCTGGCTTTAATTGATTCATAAACATAACTGTTGAAATTAGTACAATCTCCACAAATCCTCTTTTGGAATTTGTTGCATTTACCTTTTGAAGTCGTTTGTTTATGTCGTTATTTTCGGACATTTCGATCTCTCTTTGTCATGGGTATGGTATTTCGCTCCGTGAACTTACAAAATTGAAGGTTTGTTTTGTAATTGTTATATTTATTGCTGTAAGAACGATATTTGAGTCGAATATTTGTGAATTGCGAATCAGCTTTGGCATCTGAATTGGAATTTGGTTTTATTGTTAATTTGGGTTCGTAAATTACAAGTAGATCGATATACTGTACTTCACTGAAGGGAACGAGCAAAAACGTGGACATGACAGGCATAGTACTTCTGTAAGTTATGAAATGAAGAATAACGTGCATACCAAGATAACCTAATTTTGAATGTGGGAAAAGGAATCACATTTAGTCAGTTTCACCTTCCTGATATAAGTTAAATTTATTTAAAGTGAGACAAAAAGAACGCTAGATTCTGACTAGTGTTGAGATGTTGGTTGTCACCGGTTCCAGTGTTTTGTTTCACGTCTAAAGTGGAAGAGAGTTGATTCATCTCGGTTATCAATCTACGATGCTGCAGCATCTATTTGTGCATATCAGTGTAGAAGGAGATTTGTGTCATTCTTTCTGATTTCTCGATCTGAGTGTGATGAGAATGAGTACTGAATGTCTAATGAATTAATTGATTACTCAGGCACCCAAAGGCCTTATAGGTGCCTAAGAGGTTCCATATAATCAGTATAGGATGAAGCTATTTATAATATCAACGTGGCATGCTAGTATTGGACAGTATCATAATATGCTGAACTATAATGTTCATACAATAAACGCTAATGTCTATAAATACCCACGACGTTTCCTACATTTTGGTTCTTACTCAACAAATGCTTCTCCAGCTTTTTTCTGTTTTGTGATTTGAGACTATGAGGGTTCTATACTTCCTAGTTTCTCAGTTGTATACGGCATTCTGCGTTAATCGAGTAGCGATCATAACACTCATCTCCACACTCACTCCTTAACTCATTCTGTCAGCTATTCTCAACATTCACACGATTATTCAGTTGTAAATTGTTCATCCTACAAGTCATTTTATTTACGCCCATCCCGTACAAGTTGCATAACAATTTATGGCTAACTCATATGCTATATCACGTAGTATTATAATCTTATTATCACATCGTCATGCCCAACACATCATTCACACTTTCTCACAGAATTATGTGAATACGTACCTAATCTTGGTGATCAATCCATTGCAGAATTAATAGATCTGTTAATTGAAGTTCATTTTCTCAATGTCTAAATTAGAGTTGTGATTGTGGAGATTATTACGTTTTTGATTGACCTCATGAAGCGATTGATGTTAGACCACAATTAAAGTCCTGGAAACACTGAACGGCAACTTAATTGTACTCTGAGACTCCACAAGAGTGCTCATGCACGATACCGCTCGCGTGATCCAAGCCAAGGCTCTATCGGTATCGTGCGCGAACGCTTAAACTCTAGAACACTGAGCCGCTGTTTAACAGTGTTAATGTCTAACCGCAAGTGCTTTCGAAGAATAAACTTTCGAAACATCAGTAAACTTATCGTTTTAAACTTGAAGTGGTCATTTTCAGAAAAAGAACTCATACCCTCAGTAAACATTACTATCAGCAATTATATACAATGCAAGCACAGATGGATGAATATATTTTCCATTAAAACTATGATATTCTTTCTCATTTTCAGTCTATCTGCATGGCAACAGCATTAGGAGTTTTGACTACACAGCTAAATCCTCAAGTCAAACTTGCAGTCTTTGGAATCAGTTTGGTGTTATTCGCATGTGCATTACTGTTTGGTGCAGCGATTAAAACAGATTTATTTGATCACCCGATGAGTATTCTAATATTCCTTTTGGTTATATCCGTTGTAATTGTGATAGTAGCGGTTGTGCTTAGTGTTTTTAATCAATGCAAGGTATTATTTTGAGCTAATATACTTGATCCTTAAATTACATCATCTTGATTGAATCTAGTTTCCTTTCAAAACAATTACAAATGTTCATCATCATATTTTATGATAAATACAAACCCTAAACTGTTCACTGTAATCTAGTTAGTAAGGAACCAAAATCTTTAAACATTTAAATTCCGAGTGAAATCGATCAAAAGTGCAAAGTATTATGATAGCTGAACTGGTAAATTTAAATGTTATGCAGGGTATTCGGTTGATATAAATGACATCATGTAGTGCTGCAGTCATGTGCTTGAGAGAGGAGACCACTCAACTGGGTTGCGACGTCAACCAGATTATCAGAAGGAGAAGGTCATGTCGACAAAGGAAAATAACCATAAATGTTGATATCGTATAAGAGTTTAGAGATTAAATCTACAGATCATTCTAATCAAATGTGACACAAGACAAGCCCTCACATGGAATCCTCAAAGCCAAAGATAAAGAGAAAGACCAAAGAATATATAACGCCGGGAAATGGAGATAGTCGTGAGAAAAACTAACAAGAATTGGATGGAATTAAAAAAACAAGGTCCAGAACAGAGTGGGTTGGAGAATGCTAGTCGTCGGCCCATGCCCCATTAGGAGTAACAGGCGTGTGTAAGTAAGTAAGTAAGTATGTAAGTGAGTATTAGTTCAAGCTGATATAGAACAAACCCTGGCATCAATATATGCAGATATGTCCCACTCTCCACAAGGTAACATAAAGAGAGGTGAATCAAATTTACCTAATCCGATATGAGATAAAAGCGATTGAATTGATTTGTCTTCCATATGTACAAACTGACTTAATCACATACAGTCATGTTTGAGTATTGTTTAATAAAAATGTGATGTTGAATTGTCGAAGTGAATTCACTGATTTATCTTCTTGTTTTCAGTATTATACGATCGGTATTTACATAGGTGCACAAATACTATTGTTCATTGTGAGTTAAATTGATGTTCATTTTTTGTTGATAGAATAATCATTTTGAAGTAAAAGTGAACTGTTTGTCTCAAATGAATTCTACATTGCCTTATTGAGGTCTCTACGTATTATCGTTACCTTGTCAAAACGTATATAACAGTGACTAATTGTATTTACATTTCAACATCATTCAATAACACATTTTCATTCTACATGAATAAAGACAGGACTGTTTTCGCATTCGAAATTCGCTGACACAAAACGAACTATTTGAACAAGAAACTTCACGCTGATCTAGTTGCAATGGTTATTATTTATTTGTTTATTTGAACACAAATATTTGTACAGCGGGGTACCGAATACATATGACCCACAAAAGTCGCTTGATCTGTGTGAGCAGAGTGATACAACCGTGGTGCTTAGACCGTAGCAGGTAATTTTCTTTGCGGGCCACTTTTGAGGCTTTCGACCTAATGGTCCGATACAAAAGGCAGTGGAGCAACGTCAAGAGATAGAGTATCATGGCAGCCGATGACCAACGATTGATTCATACACCATTTGTTCCTTCAGATTACTGGAGCGTATGTGCACCATTAGTTTGGAATAAGCGTTTTCTAATCCTCCACCAACCCGGTCAAAGCACCTGACGTTCGTTCTTTGTCCTCTCAATTTCGTAAACAATACGAGCGATGAGAGAAGAGAGTGAGTAGCACTTTCCTGACAGTGGTTGTATATGCATGTTCATATAAGAGCATTTGAAGCGAGAGAGAGAGAGAACTAGCTAACTCTCGCTAGCCTCGGCCATAGATAACGGTATTTGGGGGCGCAATCCCTATTAATATTATGTTCTCCGTTGGTCACTTTGCAAACTGATGCATTTTTTATTTATTGATTTTACAGATAACGGTATTTATAAGTTATGTAACTGTTGGCAAATCAAGGAATCTTCTCTTTTATCCAAATTATTCACTGGCAGCCATATTATTGTATGTCATGTTCTTTTCAACTTTATTAATCAATGCGAATATAAAAATGACATTAACAAGACTGAAAGTTGTATATTCCAATTCCAGTTCCAAATTAACATGAACATTACATTAATATTGGATAGAAATCACAAAGTCTGTTTCTCGATTGTTTGTTTGTTTGAAATTTCTTTGCTATTCCTTTGAAGTTGAACTCTGGACTGATGGGAACCTTTATGGTTTTGCTGTTATTGTTATTTAAGTATCGATTCAATTAAAAATGTGTTTGTGTGTGTGTAAACTGACTACATGCCTGTATTTTGTTCTAAAGTTACGTATAATATGATGATTTTGAAAATAGTAATGTGATTTTAGTGATGTTATCCATCTTCAATTTAGATTACTGTACTTAGATAAGGATTATATGAAAAGAATGATTGTCATTAGAATAATTATTATACGTGAGTCGTATATTCTAGAGTTGTGACGAGAAGCCATGATCGTTGGAGTTCAATACATGTATGCAAATATGAGACAGTTATTCAACTCAGACAATGAATGAAGACTTAAGGAAAATCATGAATCGATTGAAATTAAACATCAGCGCTGTTTGATACCGGTTCAGTGGCTTAGGGATCAAGCGTTGACGCACGAGACCAAATATCCTAAGTTCGGGTTCGGCGTCTGAATACGTGGATGCGCACTTCTGAATATCTCATACTTGGACTGGTGCTGCTCTTCTATGCTTCCAGATGTCCAATCGTGATGTAGTTCATATCCGCTCTAAAATGCAACGGTTAAAATATACAGAATATTATTATGATCTTTGTAGACGACAATATTTCAGAAGAAATTTTTATATATATTAAAAGATATTTGCTTTGAAAACGTATATAATCATGATCAAAATTATAATAATTTATTCTCAACTAACGGTTTGCTACATGTGACATGCCAGTTTACAGGCAAGAAGAAATTGTTACAGAAGATACAATTTTCACTGTAGTAAATTACTCAGTTGGGTTAATATTTTATAAGATATGAATATAGATGATTATAGTAAGCATTGTTTTTTCAATACAACAGTTGACGCGCTCAATGAAGGTTGCGTAGCGACGTGCAACTGATGGTCGTGAATAGATCCGTGTGAAGGGATTGCCGTTCAGTGCTTCCAGACTTTCAATAGTAGTGTGGTTATCATTCTCTCTCAAATTCAACTGTTAAAATTCAGGTATCCAATAGCGTTAATGTCTATCTTATATCGATCGATGGTCTTTCTGAACCCTCCATGCATTGTCTGAAGTAGACAACACAGATTGGACTACTCTAGTAACGGTTTCTTACTATAACTACATGAACTTCATGTTGAAGCTAGTTATATAATCGTTCGTAAATGTTCATTTTAAATTCTTGTTTCATCACATTTCCAATACCATAAAATAATAAATTTGACCCTAATTTATAAAATCATTATCGGTATTACTAATAGAATTTCAGCAAGTTTCCGGTTCTTATGTTTTGATCGATTCTAACAATCTCCATTTAAATATCAGCAGTTACAAGTGAAACACGTTACGTGTTGAGACATCTTGATTGCTGGATTGGGTAACCGCGATATTCAAGAAAAACATCTCTATTAACTTATTCATTGGATAGTATGGTGTTCAACACAATGATTGAATAGAAATATGTTGAAATGAGAATAACATTTATGTCACAAAATGTAAAGGTAATAGAACATCAGTAATTACAACAGAATTCTAGAATACAATAGGTAGAATTTAAGTTGCGGTTGAATGATAACACCTAATCGATTATATGTCAAACAATAACATCCGAAATTGATTCTTTCAAACCATTCAAACCACTGAAGTTTAAATTCTCATGGTTATTTGTGGTTGATTTGATTGTTCTATGTTTATCGAAACCTTACCGGACATTTGTTTAAAGATGTATAAATGGTAGTTGGTTTATAGTGTTTAAGTCCTTTCATAAGGAGTTGACTTGCGAATTCTCTATCAATTGTCCCTCACATCTTTCGTAATTCATTTTTTTCTCAATTCCTTTATGCATCCATATCTGTTCTGTTCAGTTCATTATTATCAACCTTCTGTCGTCAGACTTTCCATTTCTGGCTGTTGTTTCATATTACTGATACGGACAGACATAAGTAGCATAAAACATAGGTCATGGGATGGAGTCACGCGAGACAGGATTGTCGATAAGAAACGCTGAGTAGTCGAACTGTGAAATGAAACGGCTGTTCAGTGCTTCCACGTTTCTGTCGTGGACTAGCTCTAATTGGTTCACGTTCTTAACTATTAAACTTACTATCATATCCACAAAAACCTATTCTGATATACTTAATCAGTTTGTTTAGTGCAAATCATTTGTCATTCAAGCATTCGAGTATTCAATACTTCGAAATCATTTATTAACTATATTTCTGATTTTGAAGAGTTCAGCTGATCCAATGTCATAATCACTGTATGGTTTTACACGAAGTGATACGTTTTTAATGGCTCCTTGTCTGTCTACAGTCTGATCGTACAAAGATGTTATAATATAAACGTTCCATTTAACTCAGTATATTATTTAGATAAGTCCTGTTCGTGTGACGGTGATAACAAGAAGCAAAACTACGAATACATTGTGAGAATTTGTCTGGAGCAGTCGCTTATCCACACAGGCATTTAGAACGAAAAATGGGAAAGCAAAGTGGAGAGGAGTGGAGAGAAGACGGCAAGCGATCCTGCTCAAATTCTATCACATATTTTGTCACGACAATGGGAATTTCCAGTTGTGAAAGTATGTTTCAACGAACAATCAAACATTACACATTAGAGTGATAGTCCACAAATTCTTAAGATCTCAACAAATTCCACCCTCGTTAATGGCTCCCACTAACTCGACACCCAAATATTGTAAAAATATTCGTTGAAATATCAACTATAGAATCTCAGAGATCGAAGTAATGTACAGCTGAATGGATAAAGATGGATACGTTTGCGTTAACGAGTAAACCAATAAGGTACATAACAATGTTTTTACGTGAATGAAGTTTCATATACATTAACACAACATCTTCTATGAATGATCTCACACTGCCTCTTTAATATTGGCCATCTACTTAGAATCGAGGAATTTTAGATTGAATATCTACTTCACCATATTCAAGACGAATTAAAAATGAGATACGTAATACTGAACAATTCAGTCTTCGGGTTTGTTGACAATATCTGTACTAACATTATTACTATTATACATGATATATTACAGTAAGGAATAACGTCTAATGTATATCATCCTGTAATATGTTTAGAGCGATTACGAGTTCACCTAGACTGCAAATGGAACAAAGACTCTGTGACCAAAAGTAAAAAAGCTGGCTATTCTGATGCGTCATAGCCACGCTCACTAGAGAGAGAATTCCAAGTCCGAAACGAGGAATTACATTCCGCACAGCCAGAAGCACGAGCAATCACGACAGGCATAAATAAAAAGTGTATCAAAAGTGTACAGCGGACCGAAAGCAATCAACATTCTCCCAAGCGAGATATACGACATGAAGGTGAAAACGAGCGGTTTTTACAAAGTTATGGGGATATGACATCCCTATCATCCTGAGAATGCCACCTACTACATGGACAATGATCAGCGCTTCGTTCGTTCGCTATTCATCGAGGGAATGACCATATGATTTTCGTATGTAATCATAATTTAAGTGAACATTATTCGGAATACAACATCTTCATTTGTACTCTCAAACTTGAATACGGATTAAGATGGGAATGGATAATATGGTAATCGGACAGCTATGAGTATTAATCATCAGTGAATCTATTCGAGTACTCGTGTTTTTCACATACATCTATCATTCCATATGGGAATACACCAATGGAAACGAATAAAGGGCGTCAGTGAATCGTAAAGTGTTGGGAAATGTTTAGACAGAGGGTAATGAAAAACTATTTATCACCTATTCCTCCAGTTAGATCAATTTCAGTAGAATATCAATGTTAAAGCAATTCATGTTCCTGAACACTATCATTGAACATTCCTTATGGCAGTGAAACATGCGGTATTCGATTTTTATCGGAACATTGATGTCATTTTTTCTTCATATGGAATATTTTGAGGTATTATGTCACACACTGAGTGTGGTTTTCAAATGATGAGCATAAATATTTTCGTTTTTTGATTATTCGGTCGTGTGGTTTGCCATTTTAATTGTTCTTCAATATGCGTTAGTAACTAACCATATTGATTTACTTGAAACATCCTAGAAGAATAGATCAATTGGTTCTGAATGAGTTATAGGTTTTACTAGATTCATATGAACATTGTAGTATAGGAATTACTTTGAATGTTTATTAGAACATTTTAGTGATTAATGAAAAGCTCATATGTATTTGATAGTTGAATGTACGAGACAATTGAAGCTAGATCAGCGAGGAATACGTGGATTCATTGAACGACTGATTCGTCCTAATGTGGTATTCCCAGTTGGGCACATTCACGATCCGGCCTCCTGAGATTCGAACACAGGACGCGTCGGACTTGCTTCAATAATGCTCCACAATGGATATATTTTTCCAAAGTTACACAGAGCTGTAATGTAACATTTTAGCACAATGTGTGATTACGTAACAGAGAGAATTTCAAGTTGACATTAGTGGGCACAAATAAAGATGAAAACAATAAATCTCCCATTTAATAACTATTCTAATGACAATGATACTTTTCATATGTTCTTCATCTAGGTAAAGTAATCAACACTGAAGATGGATAACAATTATTGAAATCACTTTATACACGTTACATTGTTATCCATTAGGACAAAAATAAACACATGTAATCAGTTTGCACACGAACAAACAAGTTTTTGATTGATCCCAAATTAAGTCAACAACAACAATGACAACAACAAAATCCAGAAGGTTCTCTTCGACCCAGTGTTCAAATTCAATGTTCTGTTAATTGGAACTGGAATATAGAACTTTCAGTCTTGTTGACATTAATGATATCCGTATTGATTGATAAAGTCGAAAAGAATATGGTATATAATAATATAGATGCCAATGCATAATTTGGATATAAGAGAAGATATCTTGATTTGCCAACAGTTAAATAACTAAGAAATATTGTTACCTGTAAAATAAATAAAACATTCATAAGTATGAAGATTGTAGTAATGTGAATGGTTGACTTGACGAGTCAATGTAAATTAGATGCACCATTGAAATCCTAGAAACACAAGAGGTTATTTTGTCGTAATATGGAACTCTTCATAGTACACAACCATGATCATGTGGCCTCAATTATCTATTAGTTAGGTATTCGCGTGTGGGATCGAAAGTCCCAGGTTCGAGTCCTGTGTTTGGGATCGTAGATGAGCACTGTTGAAGAGCCTCATACTAGGGCGAAACATCCATTCAGTGTTTCCATGTTTTCATTAGTGATCTATTTTAGATCAACTCGTCAATTGAACTGTTTAAAACATTCATAAGCTTGGATTTCATATGCGTAATTCGATAACCAGATTAGAATAATTGATGATATTTCTTGTGTAATTTCTTAAGTAAGAAATATTATCGAAAATGACATAAGTGGAGTTTTTCAACTGAAATTATAGGTGAAATTCATTTAATATTGTTTACTTGAATCTTATCATTGATGTTTACGACTGTAATAGATCAGTTTCTCTCTTTAGTGAAATATCTGCATTATGTGAGGATTGTCTCGATATTGCCTCACTTCACAAGTATTACAAGCGAAGATGAATAGTGGTTAGTAGTGGAACCTAGAACACTCATTTCATCCTGGTTAGCACTCATCAAATGGATGTACTTGAATCTCAGATTTGATGTTAACTCTGGGCCTCGAACCCAGTACCGTTCGCTTAAAACGCCATCACGTTATCTACTTAGCCACTGAGTCCATAAAGCCATTTGCTTGTGCATCCCATCGCTCAGTGTTCGAGTCTCAGTATGAACCGAACTCTGTGATGTAGGTAAGTACGACTGTTGAACCATGTTGAAATTTAAAGCGATTGGTCCCTTATTTATAATTCCCGATAGAGTAATGAGAATATGGAGTTGATCGGCAAAATGTGAAGTATTTACGCCATACATTTCGATCGAGATCATGAAACGATTGATGTTAGACCACCATTGGAAAGCCTGGAAGCATTGTAAAACGGTTTTGTCCTATTACGGAACTCCTCAGCAGTGCATATCCGCGATCCTGCATGAGCCATTTGAACCCAGGATGTCAGGGCTTGCTCGCGAACACTTGATCTGTATTACACGGACCCGGTATGTAACGGTGTGAATGCTTAACTTCTATCGATCAATGAATGGTTACGCAACACATCATCCATTGTCTGAACTAGATACCTATCTCTGTCCGACACGTGTTCGACTTCATTTGTTATCTCAGTCTCTCATCACAATCACATATCACTCAGAATATCGATGTCTGTTCACATTGAACCATATCATGTTTAAGTCATTTTCAGTGGAGATCTCAATAAGGCAATGTAAAATTCATTTGAGACAAACAGTTCACTTCTATTTCTATTGTGAGTCGCGAGGTGGCTACTCTAAATTCTACCGATTGACCAGCTTCAGATATCCCAGTTCGACCTCAATGCTGTTCCTAATCTCCAATATATCAGAACACGAACCGTAGAAGAAAAACTGTTTATGGGGTCAGGAGCAGAATAATGATTTACAAACAAATGCATATTTATACAGTTAGGATTACTATAAATATTGACCAACAGAAAGATGACACGTTAAATAATATTGACCAATAGGGAAATGACACCACTTAACGTTCAAGGGTAGCATTAGACTTAACCGGATAATTGTTTTTGGGATATTTTTCTAAGTATCCCAACAATTTCAAAGTGATCATTCTATCAACAAAAAATATACATCAATTTAACTCACAATCAACAATATTATTTGTGCACCTATGTAAACACCGATCGTATAATACTGAAAACAAGAAGATGATTCAGTGAATTCATTTGAACAATTCAACATTACATTTACATTGAGCAATACACGAACATGACTATATGTGATTACGTCAGTGTGTACTTCTGTAAGATGAGTCAATTCAGTCGCGTTTATCTTATATCGGATTAGGCAAACCCAGTTCACCTCTCTTTATGTTACCTTGTGGAAGGTGGGACATATCTGCATATATTGATGCCAGGGTTCGTTCTATATCAGCCTAAATTATTACTTACTTACTTAGTCACGCCTGTTACTCCTAATAGAACATAGGTCGCAGACCATCATTCTCCAACCCACTCTATCTTGAGCCTTCTTTTCAATTTCCATCCAATTCTTGTTAATTTTTCTCACGTGTATCTGCATTTCCTGGCGTTATATATTCTCTGGTCCTACTCTTTATCTTTGACCTTGAGGATTCCATGTGAGGGCTTGTCTTGTGTCACATTTGGGTGCTTTTCTTGATGTGTGTCCTATCCACTTCTAGCGCTTCTTCCTGATTTCTTCCTCCGCTGGGATCTGGTTTGTGTCTTCTGGATGACGGCTTTCGTAGTTCTACAGGTTTCCGCCCCATACAGTAGCACTGTCTTGACATTTGTATTGAAAATCCTGACCTTAGTGTTGGTTGACAGTTGCTTTGAGTTCCATATGTTCTTCAATTGTAAATATACCGCTCTTGCTTTGCCGAACTGCTCTTTCACATCTGCATCAGATCCACCATGTTCATCAACGATGCTGCTTAAATGCGTAAACGTTTTTACAACTTACAAATCTCCTCTGTCAGTTGTGATTGTATTGGTGAATGCTGTGTTGTATCGGAGAATTTCGCTTTTCCCTTTATTTATGTTGAGATCTACTGCTGATGAGACTGCTGCTAAACTGGTCGTCTTCTCTTGCATTTGTTGTTGCCTTTGCGATAAAAGAGCAAGATCATCTGAGAAGTCAGTTTAATCCATCATTGGAATTCTGTATTGTTGAAGAAGCTCCCATAGTGTTGTTCTGTCCACGCTATCAAATGCCTTTTCGTAGTTAATGAAGTTGATGTAGAGCGATGAATTCCATTCAATTGATTGTTCTACAATGATCCGTAGGGTTGCGATTTGGTCTGTACACGATCTATCCTTACGGAACCCTGCCTGTTGGTCACGAAGTTGAGCGTCTACAGAGTCCTTTATTCTGCTTAACAATACTCTGTTGAAGACTTTTCACGGTGTTGAGATAAGAGTGATGCCCCTGTAGTTATCATAGTTGCTGAGATCGACTTTCTTTGGTATTTTGACCAGAGGTTTTTCTTTCCAGTCGCTTGGTACTTGTTCCTCATCCCAAATCTAATTGAAGAGATTGTGGAGTATTCTTGCAGTTGCCGCTACGTCTGCTTTCAGTGCCTCTGCTGGAATGTTGTCTGGTCCTGCTGTTTAGCCACCCTTGATTCGTCTGACGGCCATGCTGATTTCTTCAATTGCTGGTGGGCCAACAATGATTAGGAGATCCGTGGGTTTTGCTTCGATATTGGGTGGGTTCAGTGGAGCTGGTTGATTCAAGAGTTCATTGAAGTGTTCTACCCACCTGTTTCTTTGTTCTTCAACGTTGATGATCACCTTGCCTTCCTTGCTTTTCACCGGTCGTTCTGTTTTACGGTGATTTCCAGAGAGTTTCTTTGTCGTGTCATACAGTTGTCTCATGTTTCCTTCTCTTGCACCCTTTTCCACCGTCATTGCTAAATCTTCCACATACTTACGTTTGTCAGTTCTGATGCTCCTCTTCACTTGCTTGTTTACTTCTGCGTATTCAGTTTGTGCCTCGGCTTTCCCTGCGCTTGTTCGGCAGATATTGATTGCTGCCTCCTTGTTTCTCCTTCCTTGAATCTTATCCAGTGTATCAACAGTGACCCATTCCTTGTGATGGTGCTTCTTGTGACCCAGAACCACATAGTATGTTGAAGTGATTGCCTTTGTGATCCCTCTTCAGTTGCCTCCTATTGAGTTGATCATGAAACGCCTGGAATCTTTTGCTGGGGGTTATCTTAAATTTGTTGAGTTTCTCAGTATCCTGAAGAAAGGCCGTATTGAAATTTTGTGATAGTGTCCGCCCCGTTGTCCAGTACTTCTTGAGTTTCTATTTCATCTTGACGACCAGCAAGTGATGATCTGATGCTATATCAGCTCCTCTCTTGATTCTCACGTAATCCATCGTCCTCCTGAACTTTTTATTGATGCGGATATGGTCGATTTGGTTTTGCGTGGTGTGATCCGTTGAAGTCCATGTGGTTTTATGAATGCGTGGGAATATAGTGCCGCCTATGACCAGCTTATTAAAGGCATATAGGTTCGTAAACCTCTTTTTGTTCCTTTCTCTTAGTCCGTGTCGTCTCATGATGTCTTCATATCCGATGTTGGCCATTTCAACCTTGGCATTTAAATCTGCCATCACCATGATCAGGTACTTTTTTGTGCACTTCTCGGAGATCGACTGCAGCCTACCGTAGAATTAATCCTTGACGTCTTCATTGTAGTCGATGGTAGGCGTATAGTATTGAATGACGTTCACTGAAATGCCATCTTTCTTTGTTTTGAAGGAGGCTTCAACGATCCTCGGTCCATGAGATTCCCACTGCTTGAATAATTGGTCTGTCTTAAATCTTTGATTACTGGTGAATAGTATGGATGTCGTGCTTTTATTAAAGTGACAGAAACGTTTACACCACCCATACTAATGTGGGTGCTATGAAGTGCATATTCCTCTAACTAGTGTATTTCGTATAAACATGTAACGTATATTACTTAAGGGAAAGCTGTTGTGGTACTCTCTGGTTCTGATACATTTCTTCAAATGCTTATTTATTCATTCTAGTATGTAAACCATGTGTTCACATAGGCCTGCTACGTTCAGTGTTATACGAGAGAGATGATCATAAAACATTCTTCAAAGTGAACGTAATATCTACTTGTGACACGAAAGTGAAGATACTCAATCGTTCAAAGTTGACTACCTGACATGTTAGAACCATACATGCTTTGCAGCAGGACATCCAACTATGAAAAACTGCAATTTACCCACTAATAAACAGAATCATTTATGGATTTGTTCTTTATTCTCTTCCTAAACAACACTTCATTCTTATACAATATCAATGTTTATTGCTACTTTGCTTTGTCCACAGGAATACCTCCTTCTGATAATATGGTTGACATCGCAACCCAGTTGACGGGTATTCTATCTAAAGTAGAGAACCACAGCACAACATTATATCAATCATACCAGCCGAATACCCTGCATATCATCTCAATTTACAAGTTCACCTAACATAACACTTGGGACTTTTGATCGATTTCACTCAGGATTCAAATGGTAACAGATGTTGGTTACTTAGTAACTAGATGACAGTAAATAGTTTAGAGTTTATAACTATCAAAGAATATGATGGTGAACATTCGTCATTGTTGAGAAAGTAAACTAGATTCAATCAGGATTACGTCGTTTAGAAATCAAATAATTCAGTTCACTACAATACCTTGTAATGTTTCCAAAAACTTAGCACAACGGCGACTATCACAATGAGAACAGATATAACCGAAAATGATATTAGAATGCTCATTAAGTGATCTGCCAAATCTGCTTTGATTGCTGCACCAATCAGTAATCCACATGTGAATAATACCAAACTGATTACAAAGACTGCAAGTTTGACAATAGCATCTAACTGTGCATTCCAAACTCCTAATGCTGTTGCCATGCAGATAGACTGAAAATGAGAAAGAATTTTATAGTTCTAATAGAATACATAGTCATTCATATGTGCTTGTATTGTATATGAATGCTGATAATAATGTTAGCTGAAGGTATGAATTCATTTTCCGAAAATGACTATTTTAAATTTGACACAATTAGTTCACTTACTATTTATTTACTTGAACACATAAATATTGAGACAAAGGTACACCGAATACATATTCACCATATATTTCACTTGTTTTGTGTGAGGGTCGTCATACTGCAGGACTACCGAAACTGAAGAAGGTGGTTTTCTCATGGAACCACACTCGGGGCCTTCAACCTAAGAGTTAGATCCACAAGGTAGTGGAGCAACATTAGTAGATGCAGCCTCACGCTAGCCGGTGACCATCGATTAGCTCATACACCTCTGGATCCGAAAATGACTATTTCAAATTTGACATAATTAGTTTACTTACTATTTATTTCTTTGAACACATAAATATTGGTACAAAGGGGCACCGAATACATATTCACCATACATTTTGCTTGATTTATGTCAGGGTTACAATACTGCCTTAAACATGAAGGTTGGATCCACAACGCAATGGAAGAACATTAGGAAATGCAGCACCACGCTAGCTGGTGACCAACGATTGGTTCATACGCCATTTGTTCCCTCTAGATCCTGAAGCCCATATGCAACATCGAGTTGATATCAGGGACTTCAAAATCACCTAGGTGGATCTTCAATACCTGTCAACTCTGTGAGATCAAAGGGGCATTTGACTTCGTCCTCTCAATTTTGTAGACAACATCCGCGCCTCGAGAAGGCAGTGAGTAGGATTTCACTGGCATAGGCTCTATATGTGTGGCCATGTGAGAGAATATCGAGAGAAAGAGCTGAAATTTCTGGCATATCTATCGCAACAGTTCGAAGATTTGAATCAACTTGTAGATCAGACATCACATCGGATTATTACCTACAAGCAGTACTCTCACTCTCATTTGCAAACCTTTTATTATATTGAATTATATTAAACAGACTAATAAAGTAAATGTGAAAAGATTATCAGAAATTCTTACATAAATAATTACAAGCGCGACATTCAGTGGATATTTCTCGTTTATCTTCTTCACGAGTGCGATTAACAAGGCTATCACACATGCAATCAAACTAAAAAATAAAACAGAAATATCTGTTGAGCATAACATGATTAACTCCTACTGTATCTGTTCTAGGACTCTTGCCGATCTGAATTCCAGGAGAAGAAGAAGGTTGAGCGTAGAATCGGCAACCCTATCCCGTAGAAAACAACTTTGCTAAGAGAAAACGATAACCAGAATAGACCTCCGATTTCAAGCAAGAATTATGATGACTCATGATGGGAGCTGAGATCCATCGGAATTCAAGAGGCCGATGTTTGTTCTAACAACCAAACCAGCAATTTTTATGTCTCCTTATTGATTGGCTTATTGTTGTCAGTACCACTAGAAAATGGCATGTTCACATCTAATGTGATTTCAATTGTACTAAATATATTCTGCACTGTGTTCCTTGTACTAATTAATCTTGAGTTAATTTCATCAAGCTCATTTACTTACTCTGAAGAAGTGGCTTATATTAGGTGACGGAACATCAGAATTACGATTTTTCCACTCATTGTTTGGAATAATAGTAACAATAATATTACACTTTCAATTTATTTGAAGCTATCCAGTTCAGCCTTGACATACATAGATCTTAATCATTCTGCGTTAATATTAATTACCATTGATGATTGATTGAATTCACTTAGTATTGTTGTTTCCTTGTATCTTCCCATTGATGTTCAGCATTTCAATTAATCAGTCTCTTATTGCCATGTGAGCATACTGTGAGCACTGCATCGATATTGCCCTCATTCAAAAGCATTGTAAGCAAAGATGGGTGGTGGCTAGCAGTGGGATCCAGTTTGACGCGCGTTTCGTCTTATTTGGGAGTGATCAGTCGGGTGTACCTACATACAAGCGTTGATGTTCAATCTGGGACTCGAGCCCAGAATCATTCGCTTTACACGTTATTACGTTATTCACTTAGCTACTTAGACTTGATAACGCGATGTTACGCACGGTATGAACATACACATATATCCTGCTACCACTGAGTGAGCGATGCAGTTGTTTAAAAACGGGAACTAGGTAAGGATGGCAAAGCAATTGATAAAGTAGTGAAACGTCATCAGGTGAGATGGCAGGGATATGTGTTACGCATGCATATAGGTAAAAGACTTCGCATACGTCGGTCAAAAAAGAGACCAGTGGATGAAGAAATCAGGAATAAGTGCTGGAAGTGGATAGGACACACATTGAGGAAAGCACCACAATGCATCACAAGGCAAGTCTTCACTTGGAATCCACAATTCTAAGGAGAAGAGGAGGTTCGATGAACACATTACGCCGAGTAATGGAGACAAATATGAAGACAATGAACAAGAAATAGAAGAGAAGGCACAGAACAGAGTGGGATGGAGAATGCTGTTCGTCAGCCTATACTCAATCGGGAGTAACAAGAGTTAGTAAGTAAGTAGGTAACCCTGTAATTAATCACAATGTTCAATCACCATCTTATATTCAAGTAAATTGTTGAACGAAGATAATGAATGATTTGTAATATAAAAATGATATAACATACAGCAATAAACCAACAATAATGGATGGTATCAATTGCCCGCCACTTTGACCAGCCATCCCACTACATAAAGACGATTATTATTATCATTATTATTAGTTGTTTAATTTACAGTAATGACGAGAGCATTATGATGACAAATGATACTGATATTTGTATTGCAACAAGTATAAGCACCTATCATTGTGAATGATTTCATTATTAATAAAGCATAATCTACTGTTTTGGTATATGTGGATACAACCGTTATACGATTATCATGTTGCATAATATTCATCACATTGATTCCTTCAATGTTCTTCATTCCAAGATATTCAACCATAGCAGGCATTACTTCCAATGTGGTTTCCTAGAATAAACATTAAAAAAATAACCATATGAAAGTTTCATCATAAATGTGATTTATCACTGAATATGCTGTATTCAAAGAGGAAACGAGTGGAGGTGAGTGTGGTGTATGCTACTGATGTTGACAGATATAAGTAGTATGTATCATCAATTGAAAGTGATATGCCTTGTGACAGAAGTCCAAGAAGTCTAAAGAGAAGAGAACGGGAAGTGATAGGTGTGGAGACGGAAGAACAGTCAAGTCGGAGACGGTTGATTGACATTTTGCAAATTATGTACTTACTGTATGGTTCTCACATTTTACTGAGTTGTTCTGTAATTTAGTATTCAAATACTATTGGTTGTTACACATGGCGTTCTCGTTCACCACTATACTATCTACAATCATATTAGTGGTTGGATTATATTCAAGAAGTTTATGTCAAAAAAAGTTAATTACAGGAATCAAACTCCAAGGTAAATTCGTTCATTTGTTTACTCTGAAGAGGTAGCTTACATTGTCACGAAGCGTCAGGAGTATGATTTTCTTACTCATTGAGACAGTCGTATGTACTTGATTATGAGATTGCAGAACATCTTAGTACAGTGAATACCTCATTTACAAAATGGTAATCGATTGTCTCCAACCTGACTGTTCCTTCGGCAAGTGTCAATCAATCATATCATACTTCATTGTTCTTTCCTTCCCACACTAATCATCCTGTGTTCTCGTTATCTTACCTTCGATTTTAGTAACCATCTACGCCAAGCACTTCACTTTTCACTGAACATATATACTACCTGTATCTTTCGACATCAGTAGCACATATCACATGACTCATATTTATGCTTAACAATCTTAACTTGTTTCAATAAGTGACTAATTCTATCACATTTACTAATATATATATACGCAAAAAGGTACATTCAAATAACATCGTCAATAAACCAGTGTAATGATATAAGTGATTAGCAGAATAATTAATTGATTCATTGATAATATGTCTTTGATTGGGATCATGAATCGATTGATGTTAGAACAACATTGAAAACCTGGAAGTACTGGATGACTCTTCAGTAGTGCACATCCATGATCCTGCTCGTGGGATTCGAATCTAGGACATTCGATCACGCGTGAGAATGCTTAATCTCTAAAACCCCACACTGATATTATGTCTGTTTAATTGAATAGAAGCTACATTCAGAAATTACTCAATAGGAGTTTGAACTATCAGGTGATCAACAAATTACTCATACACGTCTGAATTAGGTATTGTCAATGTACATGATAAGGGATCATGAAATAAAATATCAGTTAGATCATTTTTAATAATTCACTTCAATTTGAGTATATACAGAAATATGACTACCTACATCAACTATTCAGTATTATATCTACAGCTTAGATTCATAATATGACGCCTATAACCTGAACACTTGAACGCTTGAACCCTCACAAGACGCATATGAGAAATCAGAAAACAAGTGAAAGGAATGTTATTCCAAATATTGTCAATTATGGTACAACATTGTCAGGTATTCATAGATTTTAGGAAAAACCAAATCATCATTACAGTCCCCCAATCTGCAAACAGGAGGTTATTAGCATTGTCCAATAGGGAAGCTACACGTAGTTATTCTGGATTATTCTTCTATAAAAGGATTAAGTGAGATATCTACAGCTCTTTCTGAGCTTCTTATAGGGCTTCCTCGAGCTCATCCCTGGACTGTCCACACATAAGGTAACTATATTATATACGTATATATAATCATATTCCTTTCATTCAAAGTTTCCATTTGACTTATTGGCTACCATTAAACGAGTTACTATTCCCGAGTTATCCTCATTCTATTAGTTGCACTCTCTCACACTCACAGCCGCTTTTGTCTTGATCTTGTTTAACCTTTATTTACTATTTCATGATATGATGAGGTTTGATTTAGTTGTATATAAACTCCAGATGTATGAAGTGCATGATTCATATTGCGGAGGGTGATATTGGTGTCCTAGACCAAACTGTCTGTATGAGGTGAGAGGCTACTATCTCGATGAACTAATACGAACTCAGAATTGATTCTGCACTGTTCATACTGATTTATGCGTCATTGTCTCTGGTCAACAATCATTGACTATTCAAACATTTGGAAATATGTGATAAGGTGAAAAGTAGGAAACTACACTATTCCTCTCTCTCTCTCTGTCTCTCGTTCATGTCAATCACTACTGCCAATATTGTAATTGAAACAATCAAAATTTTACTTACTAATATTTAATCGTATTACTGAAACTGTAAGTTGAGCAGAACATTCACTCGAAGTGATTATTATTTTCTCACTGTGTGTGTTCGTTTTTCTTGTACCCTTCCAAAGACTACCAATAATCATGATTTGTGTACTGAGCTTGATATTATACACTATTCGTCCGATAGTGCAGTTAGACAGATAGACATGTACACCAATGACAGATTTGTTGAAAACCTGTCAAATTAGTCTTTTTTGATATTCAATCATCGTGTAGAGATGAAAACCGATAGAAAAGCGTTGGTAACCAATCGCTACTGATGATCACTGAACACTTCAATCAATACATCATTTCAGTCCATCGGTCAGTCAACAACATCGTAGAACTTTGTACGTATGTATATCAGTTGAAGTTGTCATGCCACATTAGAACAGAGATGCAATTGTCGATTGAAATCCCATAGTGGTAAAGGTTGTAAGTGCATAAACAGTAGTCGGAAACAATAGGGTTTGAAGATGTTATTCAATGAGTATAATCCACTGAAATAAATCTGGAAAGAGAAAAAAGAAACGGACATGAAGAATTCGGAAGAATAGGATTTGGGAGAACACAAAGAGTGGATGAACCTGAGCCATTGCAAACGATTTTGAGCCATGTCATTCAAGGTCTCTAACCATCGGTTGCTATCGTCTGGCGGGTCTCAACAAAGTGGTTTACACCTACCAACATGGCACAGTCCACTTGTTAATGACCTCATGGACTTGTGCCATGATTCGATCTGGCCGCCCCTACCTTTCTTCTAACATACACCTACACCTTAAAACATCGCTCGTCGGAGCAGTTGGTGGTTGTGCATGCATAACACGTGTCCCAGTCGTCTCAACTGATGAAGTTTCACTACGTCATCAATTGAATTGCCATTATTAACTAGTACCTGCTTCTTAATAACTGAATTAATTACTCGGTTGTCCCAGGATATACGACCAATGCTTCGAAGACAATTATGATCAAACACTAGTAACTTACGAATATCCTCTGCTCTTACCGGCCATGTTTCACAGCCATAAAGTAGAACGGAACAAACTGATGTGCAGCAAACCCGTCCTTTGTTTGGTGGATGGATATCTCGCCTACGACACAAATGATGCAATTTGGCAAAGCTAGTCGAGGGTTCTGTACCCGTGCTGAGATTTCGTCACACACCACACCACAAGTGCAGACGAAACTCAAAAGATAAGTGAAGCGGTCGACACACTCAACTACTTTACTCCCTAGCATAAGTTCACGCGCCAATGCAACCCAATCATGAAGCAACATTCTGCATTTCGAGGGGGAGAATCGCACGTCAACGACAAAGTGAAACAAGAATGGAGAGAGTGAACACCATTTGAAGTAATCAATTCTGATGATAGTCCGCCATAAACTCTCACTCGACCAGTTGTGTTCAAGTGAAGACCATGTATAACATTTATTTACTTCATTGGTACTGCTTTCAAGAACAAACATTGCTATAAAACCTGTAGGGGACGTTAGATCCCCAGACCTCACTTGGAAAAGGACCTAATTTTGTAATTCTATTTAGAAAATTTGAATTTCTTTGTGTTCGCACCAAAAGCGCCATTGTCACATTCATTTAATATTTCCCAATCGGGATATATCTGAAATATTATTGGTCCGTTGTGTCATTTAGTATGCTATTTTGTAACTGTCCCTAAGGACGGTTTTCTGATGTATATATGTTTTGATTTGTGTTTGTCGTTATCGCTCGTTTCTGGTTGTTTGCGGAATGTACTTCCCCAATTCAAGCTTGAATATCTTCCTAAACTTAGTGGAGCTTGGACGAATTAAATAGCTAGCTTATTTGTCTTTGGTCACGAGTCTTTGTTCCGTTCGCACTCTAAGTGAACTCGTAACCGCTTCACACATAGCAGAACCTCACGATCTATACAACCATTTCAAAGTTGAAAACCAGATTAGTTTTCTCTAGTCAACTCCTCACAAGATTTATTCAAGCTTATATATATATATCATTTAAAAGCAGATTTCCTTCAAATGAAGTTTACTTGGATCTCAATGGTGTTTGGAAACAAACTTCATATTTCACATTTCAATATGTATAGCATTGGAATTAGTGGAAAAAAAACACTAAGGAGAAGGAATTCATACATTAATGATACTGATGACTGTAGCTTACCTGTAACGACGACGTTGAACGAACTGATTTCATCTTCCAAGTTGGATCTAAAATATCCCTCAGTCATTAGATAGATTTCTAATGAATATTTTGTTTATTCATATTATCTATTAAAGTTTGATCAGGTTTGAACTGCTTCAATTGATTCATACTCATATATCTGATCAAGGTTCATATGTATAGGGCAACAGTCAATTAGAAACTCAATATAACAAACATAATCAAAATGATACAGAAAGCGCAAACATCAGTGTTTGTTAATTTTTATTTCAATAGTTTTGTGACCAGATATGAGAACTATTCACTCCATTTCATAAGACTTAGATATCTGTTGCTCTATTCATCTACACATTCAATAGACTACACAAGAAATAATGTAGTGAACGAGAACACAAATGTTTAAATACACAATTACAGAACGTCTTGGTCAAATCTGACAACCATACAGTATACACTTCATTTGCAAAATGTCAATCAATTGTCTCAGAATTCATTGTTCCCGCTCTTAACTCCTTGACCTTCTCGACCTTCCGCTCGCAGACATTCTATTCCTCACTTGTGTTACATACTACTTACGTCGACATAACTAGCACACAACAAAACAGTGTACATTAAGTTCATCACCCAAATCGTAGTTACCGGTAACTAGAAATAACTGAATAGACACACAGAGAATGATAATCAGTCTACTTCAAAAGACATTCTCCATCCAGTTGAGTACAGATGTGCTAAAGAAAAAACAATCGCGAATTCCAATCCAATGGTTGACTGATATGATGAAGAACATTCTGATCTGGTCAACTTTCAAACTAAATGGTTCACCAATATTTACATTTGTGGTTTCCCATCACACTTCTGATCCTCATTTAGTGATGTACCAAACATCCTATCGAAATATCCAAACAGCATACCGAAATCGATTCAAGGTAAACTACATTAACCGGTCAAACGATTCAGAGTCCGATTCCCCGTGTCGTCGGTGTGGATCTGCACATCTGGAGGTCCTCATATTACAATTCATAACTGTCTACTGCTTCTTCATTTTCAACAGTGGTCTAAAAACAGTTCGTGATTAAAACTATGAAAATTCTATGATTTAGGCAAAACTCTATACTCATTTGTTGCTAAACAATCGGTACCTACATCCAACTATACAATTGAAATTAAAGAACTTCCCAAACTCAGCACAGCTAACAATTACTCTGACTCATTTCAGTGCTCTGATATATAGATCTGTGTTCTGTGAATTTCAAACGAAGTGGAGTAGGATTGTTATCACTTTTCACGTGACAATTTGATGAAATCATCATGCTTATCAAACAACATATATATTGTGATGCTAGTTAATAGAGATCAAATGACAGTTTTGTATCACTTCCAAGTGTGAGGTTTGTCAAGAAAGGATAGTATTGCGATATCATTTTCCATGATATCATCCGAGAGAGATTGCATCTACTTCTTAAATTTCGAGTGTTAGACATTATGAGTCAATCGAAGCTGGACCACCATGGAAACCTTCATGCTGATCTCCTTGCAATGATTATTATTTGCTTATTTACTTGAATAAACTATTAAATTAAATAAATAAAGTATTTACTGAATGATTTCTAGGGATTTAACATCCCCAACATCCTGAGAATGCATCTTAATACGTACACATTCGTCAACTTTTCGTTCGTCCGCTATTCATCGAGGGCATGGCTATTTCATGTTCCTATATAACGATAAGAATTGTGAATAAAATAGTAGCATACTACTGTGTGGTGATTATTCAATCGTGTTATTTGTCTCATTGTTATTCAACACGCTCTAGTATCTAACTAGATTGATTTACTTGAAACATCGAAGAAGAGTAGACCACTTGATTCTGACTGAGATACAGCTTATACTGAATTCACGTGGACATAAAAGTATCGGAGTTACTTTGAATGTTTGTTAGACATTTTCGGTCATTAATCATCAAATCATATCTATTTATTAGTTGAATTCATGAATAGGTTGATGATAGACCAGTATGAAATACCTGGATGCATTGGACGACTGTTTTGTTCAAGTGTGGTACGCCTCAAAAGGGTCCACCCACGATACTAACACATGTGATTCGGTCACAGGACCTATCGTTTTGGCGAGTGAACGCTTAATCTCTAGGACACTAATCCGGCATACAATAGTGTTAATATCTAACTGCAACTAATATATTTACTTCACCTCACTACCGATTATTTCCGTCATCTTTAGAAACTATCGATTAGATGAATCCACTTTATAATCATATGTGTAATTCACTTGTTACGATGAGTTCGTCTCTATCAGATGACAGAATCCAGTGAATACTGCAGTACTACTCCACAATTGGACATGTTTTGCAAACATTACACAGAACTGTCATGTCACATGTTAGTACACTTCTTGATTACGTAATACAAGGAAATCATCTCATGTATGATAACTACTCTAATCAAAATGATCCTTAATTGAGAAAACTAATCAACACTGAAGATGGATAACAATGATTGAAATCACTTTATATACGTTACATTGTAATCAATTAGAACAAAAATAAACACATGTAATCAGTTTACACACACACACACGGTTTTGATTGATCCCATATTAAGTCAACAACAACAATAACAACAACAAAATCCAGAAGGTTCTCATCGATCCAGTATTCAACTTCAATGTTCTGTTATTTGGAACTGGAATATAGAACTATTGGTCTTGTTGGCATTAATGATATCCGTATTGATTGATGAAGTTAAAAAGAATACGGTATATAAAAATATAGATGCCAATGCATAATTTGGATAAAAGAAAAGATATCTTGATTTGCCAACAGTTGAGTAACTTAGAAATATTGTTACCTGTAGAAAAGAGATAACACATTGGCCAGTATGAAGATTGTAGTAATGTGAATGGTTGACTTGACGAGTCGATCTAAATTAGATGCACAATTGAAATCCTAGAAACACTAGAGGTCATTCTGCCATAATATGGAACTCTTCATAGTACACAACCATGATCATGCAGCCTCAGTTATCTATTAGTTAGGTATTCGCGTGTGGGATCGAAAGTCCCAGGTTCGAGTCCTGTGTTTGGGATCGTAGATGAGCACTGTTGAAGAACCTCATACTAGGGCGAAACATCCATTCAATGCTTCGATGTTTTCAATAGTGATCTAGTTTAGATCGATTCGTCAATTGAACTGTTTAAAACATTCATAAGCTTGGATTTCATATGCGTAATTCGATAACCAGATTAGAATAATTGATGATATTTCTTGTGTAATTTCTTAAGTAAGAAATATTATCGAAAATGACATAAGTGGAGTTTTTCAACTGAAATTAGGGGTGAAATTCATTTAATATTGTTTACTTGAATCTTATTATTGATGTTTACGACTGTAATTGATCAGTCTCTCTCTTTAGTGAAATATATGCATTATGTGAGAGTTGCCTCGATATTGCCTGACTTCACAAGTATTACAAGCGAAGATGAATAGTGGTTAGTAGTGGAATCTTGAACACGCGTTTCGTCATAGTTGGCACTCATCAAATGGATGTACTTGAATCTCAGATTTGATGTTAACTCTGGGCCTCGAACCCAGTACCGTTCGCTTAAAACGCCATCACGTTATCTACTTAGCCACTGAGTCCATAAAGCCATTTGCTTGTGCATCCCATCGCTCAGTGTTCGAGTCTCAGTATGAACCGAACTCTGTGATGTAGGTAAGTACGACTGTTGAACCATGTTGAAATTTAAAGCGATTGGTCCCTTATTTATAATTCCCGATAGAGTAATGAGAATATGGAGTTGATCGGAAAAATGTGATGTATTTACGCTATACATTTCGATCGAGATCATGAAACGATTGATGTTAGACCACCATTGGAAATCCTGGAAGTATTGGAAAACGGTTTCGTCCTATTACGGAACTCCTCAGCAGTGCATATCCGCGATCCTGCATGAGCCATTTGAACCCAGGATGTCAGGGCTTGCTCGCGAACACTTGATCTGTATTACACGGACCCGGTATGTAACGGTGTGAATGCTTAACTTCTATCGATCAATGAATGGTTACGCAACACATCATCCATTGTCTGAACTAGATACCTATCTCTGTCCGACACGTGTTCGACTTCATTTGTTATCTCAGTCTCTCATCACAATCACATATCACTCAGAATATCGATGTCTGTTCACATTGAACCATATCATGTTTAAGTCATTTTCAGTGGAGACCTCAATAAGGCAATGTAGAATTCATTTGAGACAAACAGTTCACTTCTACTTCAAAGCCATCATTCTATCAACAAAAAATGTACATCAATTTAACTCACGATGAACATTAATATTTGTGTACCTATGAGAACACCGATCGTATAATACTGAAAACAAGAAGATGATTCAGTGAATTCATTTGAACAATTCAACATTACATTTACATTGTACAATACTCAAACATGACTATATAGGATTGAGTCAGTGTGTACATCTGGAAGAGAAGACAATTTAATCACGTTTATCTCATGTTGCATTAAGTAAATCCGATTCACCTCTCTTTATGTTACCGTGTGTAGAGTAGGACATATCTGCATATATTTATGCCAGGGTTCGCTCTACACCAGCTTGAATAATTGATCTGTCTTAAATTTTGAATTGAAAACAATGTATATGGATTACTGATAAATAGGATGGATGTTGTGCTTTTATCAAAGTGACAGAAACGTTTACACCACCCATACTAATGTGGGTGCTATGAAGTGCATATTCCTCTAATTAGTGTATTTCGTATAAACATGTAACGTAAATTACTTAAGGGAAAGCTGTTGTGGTACTCTCTGGTTCTGATACATTTCATCAAATGCTTATTTATTCATTCTAATATGTAAATTTGTGTTCACGTAGGCCCTTTACGTTCAATGTTATACCAGAGAGATGATCATAGAACATTCTTCAAGATGAACGTAATATCTACTTGTGATACGAAAGTGAAGATACTCAGTCGTTCAAAGTTGACTACCTGACATGTTAGAAAGATGCACATTCTGTAGCAGATATCCAACTATGAAACACTGCAACTCACCTTTATGTGGACAGAATCATTTATGGATTTGATCTTTATTCTCTTGCTAAACAACCCCTCACTCTTATACCATCTCAATGTTTATCACAACTTTGTTTTATCCATATGAATTCCTCCTTCTGATAATCTGGTTGACTTTCCAAATCGGATGACAGGTGTCCCATCTCAAGCATAAGACTACAGTACTACATGATAACAAGCATAACAACCGAATACCCTGAATATCATCTCAATTTACAAGTTCAGCTATCATGATACTTTGGACTTTTGATAGATTTTACTCAGAATTCAAATGTTAACAGATGTTGATTACTTACTAAATAGATGATGGTGAACAGTTTAGGGTTTGGAACTATCATATAATATGATGGTAAACATTCCTAATTGTTGAGAAAGTAAACTAGATTCAATCAGGTTAACGTCATTTAGAAATCTAATAATTTAGTTTGCTATAATACCTTTAAATTATACCAAATACTTAGCACAACCGCGACTATCAAAGTGACAACAGATATAACCATAAGGGATAATGCAATACTAGTTATGTGATCCGCCAAATCTGTTTTAATCGCTGCACCAATCAGTAATCCACATGTGAATAATGCCAAACTGATTACAAAGACTGCAAGTTTGACAATAGCATCTAACTGTGCATTCCAAACTCCGAATGATGTTGCCATGCAGATAGACTGAAAATGAAAAATAATATAATAGTTCTAATAGAATACATGTTCATTCATATGTGCTTGTACTGTATATGAATGCTGATAATAATGTTAGCTGAAGGTATGAATTCATTTTCCGAAAATGACTATTTTAAATTTGACACAATTAGTTTACTTATTATATATTTATTTGAACAAATAAATATTGAGACAAAGGGGCACTGAATACATATTCACCATACATTTCACTTGATTTGTGTGAAGGTTGTGATACTGCCAGGCTGCCGAGACTGAAAAAGGTGGTTTTCTTGTCGAAACACATTCAGAGCCTTCAACCTAAAGGTTGGATGCACAACTCAGTGGAGCATCATTAGGAGATGCAGCCCCACGCAAGCCGATGCCCAAAGATTGGTTCATGCGCCATTTGTTGCCTCTAGATCCTGAAGCCCATGTGTAACATCGGTTTGAAATCAGGGACTTCGAACTCACCTAGGTGGATCTTCAATACCTGCCAATTATGTGAGAGCAACGAGCATTCGCTTTCATCCTCTCAATTTTGTAGACAACACCCGCGCCTCGAGAAGGCAGTGAGTAGGGTTTCAATAGCATAGGCTCTATATGTGTGGCCATGTGAGAGAATTTCGAGAGAAAGAGCTGAAATTTCTGGCATATCTATCGCAACAAATCGAAGATTTAAATCAACTTGTAGATCAGTCAGGATTTCGCTGTCGCAAGCCTCTTCGTTGTCATCACAACCAGTCACATCGGATTATTATCTTCAAGCTGTACTCTTACTCTCATTTACACACCCTTTATTATATTGAATTATATTAAACAGACTAACAAAGTGAATGTGAAAAGATTATCAGAAATTCTTACATAAATAATTACAAGTGCGACATTCAGTGGATAGTTCTCATTTATCTTCTTCACGAAAGCAATCAAAAGGGCTATCACAGATGCAATTAAACTACAAAATAAAACAGAAATATCTGTTGAGCATAACATGAATAACTCCTACCGTAGCTGTTCTAGGACTCTTGCTGATCTGAATTCCAGGAGAAGAAGAAGGTTGAGCGTAGAATCGTCAACCCTATCCCGTAGAAAACAACTTTGCTAAGAGAAAACGCTAAACAGAATAAACCTCCGATTTCAAACAAGAATGATGATGCCTCATGATGAAAGCCGAGATCGATCGGAAGTCACAAGGCCGATGTTTCTTTTAACAATCAAACCAGCAATTTTTATGTCTCCTTATTGATTGGCTTATTGTTGTCAGTACCACTAGAAAATGGCATGTTCACATCTATTGTGATTTCAATTGTGCTATAAATATTCTGCACTGGATACTTTGTATTATTTAAACTCGAGTTAATTCCATCAAACGTATTTGGTTACTGTGGAGACGTGGCTAATATTAGGTGACGAAACATCAGAATTACGATTTTTCTACTCATTGTTTGGAATAATAGTAACAACAATATTACACTTTCTAGCCAATGTTCAATTTATTTGAAACCATCCAGTTCATCCTTGACATAAATACATTTTAATCATTCTGCCTAAAATAATAATTACCATTGATGAATTGTAACGAATCCATATTGAGGATTGAATATCGGTCAAACACTATCAGCAACAACCTACTGTGGGAGAAAACAAACCAAATTCCAGTGGAGGAAGAAATCAGGAAGAAGTGCTGGAAGTGGATAAGACACATACTGGGGAAAGCACCCAAATGCATCACAAGGCATGTCTTCACTTGCAAACCTCAATTCTAAGGAGAAGAGGAAGATCAATGTACATATTACGCCAAGAAATGGAGATAAATATGAGAAGAATGAACAACAACTAGAAAGGAAGGCACAGAACAGAGTGGATTGGAGAATGCTGATCGACAGCCTTTACTCAATCGGGAGTAACAAGAGCTAGTAAATAAGTAGGCAACCCTGTAATTAATCAAAATGTTAAATCACCATCTTATATTCAAGTGAATTATTCAAAAAAGATTATGAGTAATTTCTAGAATAAAAATGACATAACATACATTATTAAACCAGCAATAGTGAACGCTATCCATTGTCCGGATTCTTGAACAATCATCTTACTACATAAAGACAATTATGATTATTATTATCATTGCTTGAGTAAATTACAGTAATGACGAGAGCATTATGATGACAAATGATACTGATATTTGTACTGTAACAAGTATAAGCACCTATCATTGTGAATGATTTCATTATTAATAAAGCATAATCTACTGTTTTGGTATATGTGGATACAACCGTTATACGATTATCATGTTGGATAATATTCATCACATTGATTCCTTCAATGTTCTTCATTCCAAGATATTCAACCATAGCAGGCATTACTTCCAATGTGGTTTCCTAGAATAAACATTAAAAAAATAACCATATGAAAGTTTCATCATAAATGTGATTTATCACTGAATATGCTGTATTCAAAGAGGAAACGAGTGGGGGTGAGTGTGGTGTGTGCTACTGATGTTGACAGATATAAGTAGTATGTATCACCAATCAAAATTAAAATGCCTTGAGACAGAAGTCAAAGTAGTTTAAATACAAGAGAACAGAGAATGTATGGTGTGGAAACGAAAAAAACAGTCAAATCGGAGACGGTTGATTGACATTTTGCAAATTATGTACTTACTGTATGGTTCTCACATTTTACTGAGTTGTTCTGTAATTTAGTATTCAAATACTATTGATTGTCACACATGGCGTTCTCGTTCACCACTATACTATCTACAGTCATATTAGTAGTTGGATTATATTCGAGAAATGAACGTGAAAAAAGTTAATTACAGGAATCAAACTCCAAGGCTTAACTTGTTGTTGTCAAATAAATTTTTCGTTATATCCCTCTGAGTAGAAAAAATGGTATTTCTAATGTTTCGTAAAGTAATGTAAGCTACCTCTTCACAGAGTAGTTAAATTCGTTTATTAGTTTACTCAGAATTGATTCTGCACTGTTCATACTGATTTATGCGTCATTGTCTCTGGTCAACAATCATTGACTATTCAAACATTTGGAAATATGTGATAAGGTGAAAAGGGGCAAACTACACTATTCCTCTCTCTCTCTCTGTCTCTCGTTCATGTCAATCACTACTGCCAATATTGTAATTGAAACAATCAAAATTTTACTTACTAATATTTAATCGTATTACTGAAACTGTAAGTTGAGCAGCACATTGACTTGAAGTGATTATTATTTTCTCACTCTGGTGTGTGTGATCTTTTTAATTGTACCCTTCCATAGACTACCAATAATCATGATTTGTGTACACTATTCGTCCGATAGTCTAGTTAGACAGATAGACATGTACACCAATAAAATAATTTTTGAAAACCTGTCGAATTAGATGTTTTTTTGAAATGCTATCATCGTGTAGAGATGAAAACCGAAAGGCAAGCGTTGGTAACCAATCGCTACTGATGTTAACTGAACACTTCGATCAATATATCATTTCAATCCGTCGGTCAGTCAACAACAACGTAGAACTTCGTACGTATGTACATCAGTTGAAGTAGTCATACCACATTAGAACAGACATACAATTGTCGATTCAAATCCCATAGTGGTAGAGGTTGTAAGAGCATATTTTGCAAATTTACGATTGACTTTACGGTATTCAGATTTTATTGAGATAGTCTGTAATTTTGTGCTAAATACATTCGATTATCCCCACCCGTGTTCTTGTTCACTACAGTGGTAGAGGTTGTAAGAGCATAAACAGTAATCGGAAGCATTAGAGTTTGAAGATGTTATTCAGTGAGTATAATCCACTGAAATAAATCTGGAAAGAGAAAAAAGAAACGGACATGAAGAATTCAGAAGAATAAGATTTGGGAGAACACAAAGAATGAATACATCTGCGCCATTGTAAATGATTTTAAGCCGTGCCATTCAAGGTCTCTAACCATCGGTTGCTATCGTCTGGCGGATCTCAACCAAGTAGTTCACACCTACCAACATGGCTCAGTCCACTTGTCAATGACCTCATGGACTTGTGCCATGTTTCGATCTGGCCGCCCCTACCTTTCTTCTAACATACACCTACACCTTAAAACATCGCTCGTCGGAGCAGTTGGTGGTTGTGCATGCATAACACGTGTCCCAGACGTATCCACCGATGATATTTCACCACTTCATCAATTGAATTGCCATTAATAATTAGTACCTGAGCTACAAATCTTTTAGTACCTGTTTCCGAACAGCTGCATTATTTACTCGGTTGTTCCAGCATATACGACCAATGGTTCGAAGACAATTATGATCAAACACTAGTAACTTACGAATATCCTCTGCTCTTGCCGGCCACGTTACACAGCCATAATGTAGAACGGAACAAACTGCTGTGCAGTAAACCCGTCCTTTGTTTGGTGGATGGATATCACGCTTACGCCATAAATGACGCAAGTTGGTAAAAGCTAGTCGAGCGTTCTGTATCCGTGCTGAGATTTCGTCACACACCACACCACTACGGCTGATGAAACTCCCAAGATAAGTGAAGCGGTCGACACACTCAACTACTTCACTCCCTAGCATTAGTACACGTGCCAATGCAACCCAATCATGAAGCAACATTCTGCATTTCGAGGGGGAGAATCGCACGTCAACGACAAAGTTAAACAAGAATGGAGAGTGGACAGTCCTGATGAACACCACTTGAAGTAATCAATTCTGATGATAGTTCGCCATAAGCTCTCACTCGACCAGTTGTGTTCAAACGAAGAGCATGTATAACATGTATTTACTTCGTTGGTACTGCTTTCAAGAACAAAAATTGCTATAAAACCTGTTGGGGAGGTTTGACCCCCAGAACTCACTTGGAAAAGGACCTAATTTTGTAATTCTATTTAGAAAATGTGAATTTCCTTGTCTCCGAGTCTTTGTTCCGTTCGCATACTAAGTGAACACGTAACCGCTTCACACCTAGCAGAACCTCAAGATCAACAGAGTCAAATGCCACCTTCAAGTCAAGAGACACTAACATTGTGTGACGTCTAAAAGTGTCTGTGTTCTGACACCTAACCTAATGTGAATATCTGGTCTATACAACCATTTCAAAGTTGAAAACTAGATTAGTTTTCTCTAGTCAACTCCTCACAGGATTTATTCAAGCTTATATATATAATTTAGAAGTAGATTTCCTTCCATTGAAGTTTACTTGAATCTCAATGTTGTTTGCTTAGACTAGTTATACATAGGTGACTATGTCTTTACTGTGAAACAATTGATAATCAACTATGATTTGGAAACAAACTTCATATTTCATATTTGAAAATATATAGCATTGGAATTAGTGGAATAAAACACTAAGGACAAACAATTCATACATTAATGATACTGATGACTGTAGCTTACCTGTAACGACGACGTTGAACGAACTGATTTCATCTTCCAAGTTGGATCTAAAATATCCCTCAGTCATTAGATAGATTTATAATGAATATTTTGTTTGTTCATATTATCTATTAAAGTTTGATCAGGTTTGAACTGCTTCAATTGATTCATACTCATGTATCTGATCAAGGTTCATATGTATAGGGCAACAGTCAATTAGAAACTCAATATAACAAACATAATCAAAGTGATACAGAAAGCGCAAACATCAGTGTTTGTTAATTTTTATTTCAATAGTTTTGTGACCAGATATGAGAACTATTCACTCCATTTCATAAGACTTAGATATCTGTTGCTCTATTCATCTACACACTCACTAGACTACACAAGAAATAATGTAGTGAACGAGAACACAAGTGTTTGAATACACAATTACAGAACGTCTTGGTCAAATCTGACAACCATACAGTATACACTTCATTTGCAAAATGTCAATCAATTGTCTCAGAATTCATTGTTCCCGCTCTTAACTCCTTGACCTTCTCGACCTTCCGCTCGCAGACATTCTATTCCTCACTTGTGTTATATACTACTTATGTGAACATAAGTGGCACACAACACAACAGTGTATATTAAGTTCACCACTCAAATCATAGTTCTCGGCAACTAGAAATAACTGAAAAGACACACAGAGAATGATAATCAGTCTACTTCAAAAAGATATTCTCTATCCATTTGAGTACAGATGTGCTAAAGAAAAAACAATCGCGAATTCCAATCCAATGGTTGACTGATATGATGAAGAACATTCTGATCTGGTCAACTTTCAAACTAAATGGTTCACCAATATTTACATTTGTGGTTTCCCATCACACTTCTGATCCTCATTTAGTGATGTACCAAACATCCTATCGAAATATCCAAACAGCATACCGAAATCGATTCAAGGTAAACTACATTAACCGGTCAAACGATTCAGAGTCCGATTCCCCGTGTCGTCGGTGTGGATCTGCACATCTGGAGGTCCTCATATTACAATTCATAACTGTCTACTGCTTCTTCATTTTCAACAGTGGTCTAAAAACAGTTCGTGATTAAAACTATGAAAATTCTATGATTTAGGCAAAACTCTATACTCATTTGTTGCTAAACAATCGGTACCTACATCCAACTATACAATTGAAATTAAAGAACTTCCCAAACTCAGCACAGCTAACAATTACTCTGACTCATTTCAGTGCTCTGATATATAGATCTGTGTTCTGTGAATTTCAAACGAAGTGGAGTAGGATTGTTATCACTTTTCACGTGACAATTTGATGAAATCATCATGCTTATCAAACTACATATATATTGTGATGCTAGTTAATAGAGATCAAATGACAGTTTTGTATCACTTCCAAGTGTGAGGTTTGTCAAGAAAGGATAGTATTGCGATATCATTTTCCATGATATCATCCGAGAGAGATTGCATCTACTTCTTAAATTTCGAGTGTTAGACATTATGAGTCAATTGAATCTAGACCACCATGGAAAACCTAGAAGCAGTCGACGGTTGTTTCGTCATATTATAGGACTCCTCAGCAATGCGCATCCACAATTTAGCTTCAATTGAATCATGATCTCAACTATAAAAATTAATTATATTGTCCACAAAATCCCCTCCTGATACTTCTTAAATGATTTAAATCTTTCTAATTGATTAAATAACAGCATTCACTTGATGCGGTGAGTCAATCAAATATCAATAAACTGATAAGCGCACGACCACGGTTTCCTTACTATTGTAACTAGCTCGGGGACAAACAATTAGAAAGTTTTGTTTATCAGCATTGGAATTGGCGATCGAATCACACAACACCATTTACATACTTGACTCGATATGATATCCTAATGAATTAGAATGTTAAAACATTTGTCATCTTCTTTCTAATCCGTAGACTGTTGTAATTTACATTCTTGGTCGTAAATTGAGATGAAGTTTTGATTGATAGAGACTTGTAGTGTTGTATAATAAATAGGAATCTTAATGAATAACCCATATGAAACGTAAATAATTGGTTATATTTATTCAATCTAAAACTGCTGCACGTGGATCCTTATTGGCAGAAAATCGAATTTACTGAAACTTCTCTTGACAAACGAATTCAATAGATTAACAGTCCTGATGTCATACAGGCAAAGAGTTAAACTTTTTTGGAAAAATATTGATCAAGAATAGGTATTCATCTAGATATTTGACACCATTATAAAGCTTACAAATCCATAATCATCAATAAACTCAGAGCCAAAGAATACGTTTCACATAGATATTGATTTCGGTGATCAAAAAATCCATCCTGAGAAGGATTTCCAACAGCAACAACATTAAAGTTAGGATTGTCCAGTCGATTTATTATCAAACAACTTATCCCATACTACAAAGTTCGATCCATTTGATCACAATCTCAAATGTAGAACATTTGTAGTGACAAGTAAAACTCCAAGCTTCGATAGTAATACTCTAGTAATGATATTGATCTAAACAATTCGATTATTTTGAAGATAATGTGCACAATCTCTACCAGTAGATCAGAAGAACTGGCTATCTCTAATAAATGAGTATCTTTCCAAATATAAAAAAGACACCAATTTTGTGAAATATAAAGATGGAAGTTCCAAATGTCCTGGTACGGTCGAGGGTGAGAAGAGTCCGCACTCTATCTCCAAATGCTATCTTGCTTTTCATTGATCATAACTGCTTTAAATATTGCAAAACAAAATAAGAAGTTTACTTCCAACGGGTACATCATCCTAATGCACAATTCTACTACTTTATGATCAACTTACACAACTAAATATAGTAAATAATGTTATTCATTTTATAATTTGGTTTTGTGTGTCATATTAAATGAAGTAGTTCAGTCTCATTCATGATTCGTTAATAACAGCCTACAAGTGCCCAGGTACAGTCGAAGATCGTGTGAATCAGCCATCCCTCTCGAAACGCACTTACATAATCACGTGTATACAACCAATCCCACACACTTCCTTTTCGCACGTTGGGTATTGTTTACGAAATTGAGAGCACTATAATCGAATGTTTGGTGATTTAACTGGGTTAGTGGATACGGACGGTCGATATAGGGGAGTAAAAAAAACCCAATTCCACACCATTGGTGAACATGGACTCCAGTATCCTGAAGGAACAAATAGTGTATGAACCAATTGTTGATCATCGGCTACTATGAAATTACATCTCTTTACATTGCTTCACTACCTTGTGGATTAGATTTTGAATTCAAAGGGTTCAGGTGTGGCCCACTAAGAAAGCCACATATTTCGGTTGAGGCACCCGGACAGTATATGTATTCGGTGCTCCTCTGTATCAATATTCATGTGTTCAAATAAATAAATAAAGAGAAAACATAGAAAAATGTTCACAAAAATTCATTATCATTCTTTTGATGAAACAATTAACAAATTCATGGTAGTAACAATCATCATCATCATAATAATAATGATTATTATTATTATTATTATTAGTAATATCACTGGTAACAACAACAACAATGATTATGTAATCAACATTTAATTATTGTCAAAGTACAAAAGAAAGAAAAATTCACCTAAAAAAAAAGAATTGAATAATACCTATTTTTATATTAATATAAAATTACTAATAATTGGTTGCTGGCTTGTTTTTCTTTTCGTTCTTTTTTTTCTTTTTGGTTCATAAATTAATATAAAGTGCTTAAAGAGAACAAAGTTCACAATAAGTCAATAATTGAGAAAATTACCTACAATACATATACATATACACATATAGATAGATAGAAACAGATAGGACAAAAACAAACTCAGAGAGAGGGGGAGCTTATACCTAAATAATATATATATATATATATATATATTCCCAATATAGAATTCAATATTATTACTATTAAGTAATAGTGGTATTACGTAATAGTGTTATGCAATAGTGAAATATTCTAAAAAATAATTGATAATAAAAGAATAAGAATAAGATTGTACACATTTTTTAGATGAATAATATATCCCTTAAATAAACTATATGCATAGTAACAATGAGTAAGAGAGAAAGACAAACTGATAGATAGACAGACAGGCAGACAGGTACACTTGGAATTGAGGATTGATTCAAAGAGGGAAGAACAAGAAGAAGAAGAAGAAGAAAAAGAGGAAATGTGTAGTAACTCGTGCTACACAAGGAGACGAAACAAAAACGAATGAAAAAAAATGCAACAAACTTTCATATAAAACTTTGTTTGGGTGTGTGTGTGTCTAGTTGTTGTCGTTGTTATGTGTTTATGTTCGGGGAACCAGATTTCTCTTATTTATTAATAAGTTTAATAATAGACGGATTATAACAAGAGAATAACACTAGTAAAAGTCATAATAATAATAATAATAATAATAATAATAATAATAATAATAATAATAATAATAATAATGATAATAATACCTAACATGGTTACAAATAAGAAATAAATATAACTATTTAACATATAAAACGCGTATTCACACATTGAGAAGGACAAGTAAAATAAACAAGAAGCATTACACAAAAACTATTTATTAATTCATTGTATCAAAACAAAAAATCTTATTAGCAAAAAAAAGGGAGGGGGAAAAAGGGGGGAGAAGGAGAGCAGAGCAAAACAATAACAACAAGAATATCATCAAAAGAAGAATGTGGACATGATAGTGATCATGATGGGGAAATATTAGAGAATGATAAAGCTGCCCACATATGATGATGATATATATATGCCATTATATCTAGTATTGGTAATGCCAATGTACAAATAGAAATATAGAATAACCTAAACCTACCTGAGGTTTACAAATGTTAACACAATAATATTAATATAATGAATTGAGAAAATACCTAAATATGGTATGTGTATTATGGAGAATTAGAAGTGTGCATTTTGATAAATTGCAAATATCTTCTCAAAATCCTAACAAATTCATCAATAATCAAGAAAAAGAAAAGGAAAAGAAAACAGTTAATACTAGTAAAGCAATTAGATTTATTAAAATAAACTATA